GAAAAACAAAAGGATGATTAAATATGCATAAACAAGAGTTTTTAGCCTCCTTTAATGATAATAAAATATTTCTCGAATCTAAAACGTATGTTTGAAAGCAATTTAAATCGTTTAATCGACATGTGCTTAAATAACTTGTAAGTTAATTAATAAATTGATAAATGGTTGAAAAATAAAAATAATACGCCTAAAATTGTTGGTACATTTTAGCAATATAAATTAATTTTCTTTTGGCGTTGAAAAATTGAAAAATAATGGCACTACTTAATTTTATACTTCGTAGGCCTATGCACGATTTTGAAGCAAATTACTTGAACTCATTTTTTATTACATTTTCTTCGTCTTATAGTTAATGCTTTTTTTTTTTTTTAAAGATTTAATTAAATAATATTTAAGTTATGTGTAAAATCATATTCTATGACATTATATCAAGATTAGTGGGTCGAGTTAACTTCACCGACATTTAAAAAGTCTGAACTTGTATAAAGAAATGTGCAAAAATTGAAATAATTCTCCCAGTATCACCATACGTATCTGCTACAATTTTTACGAAAGAGTGAGTTTCTTGTGGAAATAGGCTGCAAAAAATAAATCACATCCTAAAATAAAAAAAAGATTAAAATATTTAAAACAAAAAACAAAAAAAAAAAAACAAAAAAAGAAATACAAGCGAGCGTGTGTATTTGAAAGTACACACACGCTCGTATGTAAATAAGTAATTGCTTAAGTATTTAGAGAGACGTGCGTACACATTCGTGCACTTTATATTATTGTTAGCATGGCACAATATCTGATGCGATTAAATTAATCAAAATATTGACAAATATATATTTCAATGTATGAATATTTCCATTAATTATAAATATTATTCAGGCAATCGAATGTAGTCCGTAACTGCAAATAAAATTATCAAAATTTAAAAGTTCTATAGATTCTGTCCAGAAATGAAGCTACGTAGCTTTTAATGTAGTATTGGGTGGTGAAGACTTAGGCATCGACTTTTTTTTTTTAAAGTAAAACTCAAAATATATTGAATAAAATAAATTTTCATTTTATTTCATGATATATCGATTTGAAGATCCATTATATTGTATTTAGTGACATTTAGAATTATATTGCCAAAGACACGAAAATCATGCTTATTAAATATTACATTTTCTAATATTGTGACTACCTATTAATAATATAATATATAAGAAATATTTCAAAGCTTTTCTTAATTCTTTGAATTGCATAAACTAATCGAGTAAATTAAATACTTAATTTACTTAATTTAATCTTACCCATCCTCTGATTTTATAACAATTAATCAGTATTATGTAAAAAGGTATCTCCCATAATAATATATTAATAAATTAGATGCCATTTAAGAAGTAATAATGTACAAAAAGTTTTTAATGTGATTTGCCCTATTATTTTATTTTATTATTATTATTATTATTATTATTATTATTTTATCCCCTTAAATGATACAATGTATTAAACGAAATTATTGTATTGTGATTAGGGCTAAAAATATTTAGAGCGTATAGAGTGTGATATATAATATATGCAATAAACAATATACAATTAAATAAATAGAATTATTCGATAATTTATTTTATATTTATATTAAATTTGATGGAGCAATAATTCACCTTTTAGAAATCAGATTGAGAACAAATCGATAATTAGTCCAAGGCATTCATTTTTGTTGTTGTTGTTGTTGTCGTCGTCGTCGTCGTCGTCGTCGTCGTCGTCGTCGTCGTCATTGTTGTTGTCGTTGTTGTTGTTGCTGTTGTTGTTTTGTCAATATAAAATTACCGTCTTTATATACCTTTGACTAGTAGCATGTTTTTTTCAAATGCCAATTAAAAAAAAAAAAAAAAAACATCGATGCACTTTAACGCTGACAAAATTTTGTTCGTTTAATTTAATATGTTACATTGAAGATTGAAAGAATACAGTAACTTAGCGATAACTTATCAAAATCTACGTACACCCAAATATACAAGTTTTGAAATACTTAATATCTGTCGAAATAAAGAATGACTTGATATTTTATACTCATTTTCTCATAATCGAATTATAAAATTAGTATAGATAGATGAATTTCAAAAATTTCGAATGTTTTCGAAAATAATAATAATTAGACGTTTCCTAAATGGTAAGTAATTAATTGCTTTGTGAAGAAAAAAAAAAGTAGTTGGTTCGTACTCGTCATGATAATGAAATGAAAACTTGGGTATATTTCGAATATTCATATTCATCTTTTATTATGGGATTTTTTGTCAAAAGGTCATACTTTAAATTGATATACTGATAAATTGATATTAACTGATATACTGTAAATTAGTAATAATGGATAGCCAATAATTTTTGTTTTTGTTTTGTTTTTTTTTTTTTTTTCATCAATTCAGAAATAACGTAGCCTATCCAAGTATTACTTTGCTGTGATATTGATGAATAAAAATATATTCATAACTGCGAAATTATATATTTATTAAGGATTCATGAATATTACACTCGGATATTTTACAATGAGAAGAATAAAATAATTTTTTCATTTCTTAAAGTTATGCCTTATTTTTTACCTCCTCAATGGCTAATAAAACAAAAATATTTTCAAATTTAATCAAATATAAAGCACAAATGAAGACTTCGGTCCCTGGCTACCAATAATCCACGTACTATCAACGATTTACTTAATTTCGAACAATTTGTTTTTATTGCTAGTCGAGTTGACGACGCATTGTCACATTGATTATTAGAGAAACAGGCGCATAAGCCAATTTCTCCTTGAAAGTCCATTTAGAAATGAGCGTAAACATAACTCATGAAATTCAATAATGTACCTAGAGGTACAAGATAAGAAGACAGACTGAGCTTGTGGCAAGTAAAAAAGTGGAAGGATAATGGCATAGGAACAGCAACGAAATATACATGGACGAATGAAAGTATGCGGATAAATTGGGATGAGAGAGACGTAGTTCGACTAAGGCGAGCAGGGTGCGGTCTTCCCGAAAATCGATACCTTCTACACCTGGATGACGACGGTGACGACTACGGCGACACTCGCTCGTCTCCCTTTTCTCCTTTCACTATTCTCTGTTCGTACTCTCTTATTATCATTGCATTATCTAATGAAGAGTCCACGATCGTACACGTCTTCCCATAAGTTATGCATTAGCTTAGAACGGTACACTGTCGCTTCAAACTATCGCGTGTGTTTTATAATAATACCGATTTTTACATTTAATAATACTGACATTTCGAAGGGAAAATTTTGTTTAGGTTCATTTAAAAAATCATAACCATCCCTCGTGCCTAATTCCCAATTCGTTCGCTTATACATTTCCTTCGTTCGTTTCCTTCGACGTTTCACTTCTTCTTTTTCAACAGTGCAATATAATGATGAAAAGAATATCGTTCGTAACTTCGGCGACGATGACGGCACTTTCTCTACAATATTAAATATTGTATTATAGCATAAGAATAAATATGTGTATGCAAATCATAAATGTGTAAAAGGATAAAGTGGATAATTTTCAAGATTAAACCGATCGTTGACATTGTATTATATACGATTACACGGTGATTTTAATTTCTATCAACATTAAAACATACTGAAATAAATCTATAAGTATAACTAATCGATAATACAAAGGATAAAACAAATATAAATAATCTTTTTCAATTCATCCGTACCTGACATGCATAAATGTTGAATTATTTTTTTAAAGCATATTCGATAAAGTTTGCAAAAGTTTTAGTATATAATGTATAATAATATACAGCCAAAATTACATAATCGATGCAAAACTGCCACGTAACATTAATATTTTATTGATAATTCAAAATCATCGATTGTGTTTACAATATTATGTAAAATTTTAATTTACCAAAAAAGAATAATGTAATGATTGATAATCTTGAAGATACTCGATAAAAATATTGATTAATTTGAGAATACAAATCATGAGATTAAGCAAGTTTTGATAAGACATCTCTAATTTATAAAGTCAATTTAAAATTCTATTTCATCGCCAACGCAAATTGACTTTTTATAAAAATAAAATCAATTATACATTGTATTTCGTTCGATAAATAAGTAGTATATATATACCGACAAAGTCAATACTTTCATATCATAATACTTTGACAATTTTTAAATTTTACTAGCATCTTTTTTGATGGATTTATATTGTATATTAAATAGAGCTATATGTATACATATAAACAGAAGCTATCCATACATATATATTTGTTATCAATTATTTAATAAATGTCAAAGGATATTGAAATAAATTAATTGGAATTTATCCCTAAGAATTCAATTTAAACTCGTCTCCCAAAATTTTTATTCAACTATTTATATTGCCGATTGGATGCTAACTTTAATTAAGTTATTTGAAAAGCTTACATCTATCATTATATTCACATTATTTTTATAATATATCAATTATAATATATAATAATAATATATAAATAATATATCAATATTTTTAAGCAAACATTTTTATTCATTGATATATGTTCTGACACAAAAAAAAATAATACATGGCTATTTACTTAAGTTACGTCTATCTAAAATTCTAATGCTTTATTTAAAAGCCAATTATTATAAACAAAATTATTAATTTAAGCTTGAATCATATTCAGAATGTCGACGATAATAATATTTATTCTGAAAGTGTAGAACAATTGTATTGCATACAATATAAAAAATTTGAATTATGAAATGTATGAAATTTTTTAAAGTATCGTTCAAATTTTTTACATTCATTCATAAACTTGTAAAATATATTCTATATCATCTACAATTTAAATCTTGAAAATCATATCATTTCAAATGATGAACATATTTTATAATTACTTAATAATACAGTTATTATAATGCATTGCAACATTATTTCATTATTGATAAAAAAAAAAAAAAAAAAAAAAAAAAAAAAAAAAAAAAAAAAAAAAAGAAAAAAAAAAAAGAAACCATGTTTTATTCTATTTATAACAATGTACATTTCTATTCGATCAGCTTCGGATCTTATATAATGACAGTGTCTGTAAATTATTGAAGCAAATCCTTCACTCTAATGGAAAACTGTTTTTTAACTTCGAAAACTATAATACCTACAGCCATTCCTGCATTTAAACTATCAATATTATTATTTAAAGGAATATTTACTCGCACTCCATTTCTACTTTTTGTCAATTCTACGGAATCGATACTTAATCCTTCTGTTTCACCACCAACAATTAAAACTATTTCATTTTTTGTATAGTCTGCGGTATAATAAGGAACAACCTCTAACTCATTTAGCTTCTCCAGTATTTCATGTTTCTTCTTTTTCTCATGAATGATAGGTTTTACAATTGTCTCTTCTTCAATTCTTTTAAAAGGATTGACATTACTATCGGCAATGAAAACATTAGCATCTGTGCTTATCGATGATTTAATGTCATCCCAGGTTTGTGCACCAAAAATTGGTATTCGAAACTGAGCACCCGCTGCTGCTCGCAAAACTTTAGCATCCCAAAAGTCGACACATCCTAAAAAATATCAATGCTTAAGTTTATATTTACTTTTATAGGATCGTTACCTTTATATATCACTATTACAAAATATAACATTGTAAAATGTATAAAAAATAAAAAATAAAAAGAATAAAAAGATTTTGATGTAAATCTTTTGGAAGATTTAATTATGATATTAACAGTAGAAACTATTTTAAAAATTTAAAAGACTTTTTTATCTATAATTTGAACATTTTTTAAACAAATTATCTCATCAAATTACTTCTTTAAAAATTTATTTCTTGAACTAAACATTAAACAATTAACTTTTCATAAAAAATGAAATTAATAAATATATATATTATTATTCTTAAATAATGATCATAATTGTCAGTTCCATTATTTTTTTTCTATCGCAGTCATTTAAGGATATTTTAAATAATATTATGCTATACCAATAAACTTTATGATAAGTAGAAAATATTGTACAACCAAAATATTAAAGGCAACAATTCACAAATATAAATTAATTTTTATACACGTTAGATAATGATGTATATAAAGAAAAATTTAACACATATAGACCACAACATTATTTTGAATAAATATTAATTATTGATTTTTAAGTTATGCACCAAATTTCTATTTATTTAGTCAAATAATATAGATTTTAGTCGGATATATATATATATATATATATTAACATTTTATATATTTCAAAAATAATCTTTGAAAAGATTTATGATAAATAAAATATATATATATCGATAAATATAAAGTTATAATTTTTTCTTCTGCAAGAACTCGACTAACCTTTGGATAATAATACTTTTTCACAACCAGCTCCAGCCGCTGCACGTAAAATGGCGCCCATATTTCTTGGGTCGCGAATATTATCGCAAATAATAGTAATTGGCAAAGATGTGGACGTTACCTCAACAGCATTTGGTTTTTCAAAAATTGCTAAAAATAGTAAGACAATTATTAAAGCGCTACCGAATATTAGCATTGCTCCATTATATTCAAAACAGTTAAATTACCCATTACACCTGGAGTAGTCGTTAAAGTTGACCATAATTGAATTACTCTATATGGAACCTTATAAAATTGTGTTTCATTCTTTTTAATAGGTAAATTTTGAATATCTTCATACCTACTAAAAATGATTATCTCTGGAACTAGTCCAACTTTAATGCCTTCTTCGATTAATCTCGTACCCTCTATGATTATCCGATTTTTTTTATTTTTTTGTTTTTTGGTTTTTATACTCATCATTAATGATCTATATAAAAGTAAATAAATATAAATATACGTCGATGTGGATTTAATAACATTGCAATTGCAATATGAAATGAAGACAATACTAACGTGATTATCTTTTCATTATTATATATTTTTGTACTGATTAAATTTCTTTCCTTCTTAGGTGCTTCTTTGACGTCGTCACTCCAGCTTGCTTCTTCTCGTTGCTTAGCATCTATAGCTTTAGATTTTTTTGAACGAGGCTTTTTTTGTACTTCTAGAATTGGAGGAGTTGTATTTTCTTCAATGTCAAAAAGTTCATCTGCATTCTCAATATCTGTATACATTCTCGGAGCAAATCTAGCATATTTTTTGCATGGAACGATTAAACAAGATTTAACATCAATCGCATGGGAAATATTTCGCAAGTTACTTAATGTCAACTGTAAGCTTTTGAGTAACATATTTAAATATATTTATTGACAAGGATTTACTACAAAATTTTAGCATTAAAATTAATGTTAGCTTAAAGCATCAATAACATTGGTAACATTTTTAGGTTAAATTTCTAACACTGTCCTCTTGATTGTTGTACAAGTATTGCTTTCAAATTACCAAACTCATTTATAATTAGGTAAAATTTAATTGAAAAACTATCTAAAAAATCCTGCGTTTTCTGCTTGAAAAATTTATGATTTTTATTGTTCGGTAAATACAAGAAATAAATTTTATTATTTCGAAATTGATAGGAGAGAGAAAATCGCATGCGCACTACAAATTTTTTATTAATTTTACATCTCCTTTGCGGGAAATAAAAATTTTAAACTTAAAATTAAACTTTCCAAATAGTATCGAATTAGGAAATCGGGTGTCAGCGAATCGTTGATATCCGAAATAAAATATTGAGAAACTATGTACTGCATTTTTAATAAATTGCTATTTAATTGAAAGAAATGAGGTAACCTCGATGTGCACTTTACTCACTGAATGTTTGCTAAAACTTGTGAAAAGTGTCATTAATTAATTAAAAAAATGATTTTTTTTTTTTTTACATAAAAAGACCTTTTAAAAATTCCTTTTAATGTTAATAATACTGTATGCGATAGTAATATAAAGCGACTAAAACGCTTATTAATACAAAATTAAAAATTAATCCTTTATACAAACGGTAATGTCAGACGGAGCATAGAAAATATTCACTTATAAATGTAGAGAAAAAAATCTAAATGGTTATGAATATTAAAATGTTATTGATATTCTTAATGCTGTTGCTTCTGAAAAAAAAAAAAAAAAAAAAAAAAAAAAAAAAAAAAAAAAAAAAAAAAAAAAAAAAAAAAAAAAAAAAAAAAAAGTAATAAATTAATAAATAAATAAAATAGGTTACAAAAATAATATTTGTATAATTAATTGTATTATAGGCGTAATCGAACTCTTAATATTCCGGAAGATCGATTTTGTTGACCATTGAAAATTCAAATAAATAACGGAATATTATCGAAACTGACGATACCAATGAATTTTTTCATTTTAACATTAACGTGTGTCGCTTTAATAGCGATAAAATCTTTATGATAGACATTACGGCATATTAGTAGTAGTAGTAGTAGTAGTAGTAGTAGTAGTAGTAGTAGTAGTAGTAGTAGTAGTAGTAGTAGTAGTAGTAGTAGTAGTAGTAGTAGTAGTAGTAGTAGTAGTAGTAGTAGTAGTAGTAGTAGTAGTAGTAGTAGTAGTAGTAGTAGTAGTAGTAGTAGTAGTAGTAGTAGTAATTTTTTTTTTTTCTTTTTTCAATTAATGCTATCATCATACGGACTAAATAAAAGGATAAATCTGTTCCATTTATATCGTTGACATCTCTCATTTCACATACAATGTAACATTCATACGAGGAGTTTATTTATCTTGAATCATCGTTATTTATGTTTTTGATGAAAATTTCGAACTAGTTATAGAATAAAGTAATAATCGACGCTCGAGCGTTTACCTTTATAATATTTGATAATGATCTTGATATCCCCGTGTTCCCGAATCACAGCTTCCTACCAACACATAGCCACTTTCTCGCCATTATTGTATTATAAATAATGCCCAGTAATTTGCTGTGTGCTATTACCATTCAACTAACTTTTATTTTTATTTTTGCGTAAAAAAAACTCCAGTCCATCAGTGGATCTTATGTAACAACGAGATCGCTAAAAGGCCGAAGGATATTTCATTATCTCTCGTTAATTATTTTAAAATATTTTAATCGAGCGTCTTTTTATAAAATATCGAAACAAGACAGTAAATTTCATCTCAGATCGTTGGCCATTCGTTACTATTTCATTTAGAAAGAGTTTTAATGATCGATATTGGCCGATCGGCGCGTCCGATTCCCTCGACATAATAATTTGGATTTTACGGTTTCTCGAGTCTGCCACCGTTTTATCCTCTCATCGAATAACATCATTCAAGTCATTCAAGTCCACATTTTACTACAATTTAATTACACAAAAAAATATTAATTAACATTAAGCAGAGAGAGAGAGAGAGAGAGAGAGAGAGAAAGATATTCTTTTCTCTCGCCTTCGACAATTCGCGTAATTCCTTATTCGTCGTATCGCCAGACCTCGAGTGCCCACTCATCTTATTAATCGCACTCGCGCTCCTTCAAGTAAGCAATTATATTATATATAATATATATATATATATATATATATATATATATATATATAATAATAGCAGTACAATTCTCTTGCTGTGTAGTGAAAAAATTCATTGTTCTTACTAGCCACGGGCCATTACAAGGAGCATCCCCGCATCTAAAATATTTAACGAAGCGGCAGTGTTCGAAGGACGTGAATCCTTATTGGAGGATAATCGAGCGATTCGATTGGCTATATCTTTCAACCTACTAGACAAGTCCTTTTAATTAATTTCCTTGTTACTACTATTTTGTTGTTATTGGCTTATTAGCCTGCTATTGGCAAATAGCATTTATATTCAAATAGTTGTAGAGAAACAAATACTTTTAGCGTTATATTAAGGATAAAAATGTTAGCTCAAAAAATGGCCTACAACTCGTGGTTGGAAAATTATTTTACAATTTGCAATAAAAGGCTTGGAAGCCTTCGAAGAAAAGGCATTTGGACATGGGCATGTCGAGGCACATGTCTATTGACATGCCGCATAGCACGTATGCGTAGGTGTAGGTTGAGTTTGGAAAGAAGTCCTTCTTACTCGTTAGTTTATGGCTAAAGTCGTCGATTGGTCGGAAGTTGGACAACAAAATTCATTGGTCGTAGATTAATGTGATAATGGTGCACGAGGAGAAAGATAACGATTGTAGATCATTGAATAAATTTTATCGAGAATTAATAGTCCTTTACGGCCTATAATGCCGCCTGCTAGTATACTTTCGTTATTAATAACAATTCAGTGTTTTTGACATTTAAGTAGTATGTTGAATTAAGAAGAGGAATCGCACTGAATTATTATTGTGTGTTGCACTTGCGTAGCCATGAACAGAGGCACAGCGGCGCAGACGAAGAGACAGCAGACAGAAATTTAAGTAAACACAGTGTGTAAATAAATATTTTCTACGATATTATTTATCTGGTATTACGTTTACGTGTGTATTGTATTTAAGATTTTATGGCAAAGTAAGGTGAAGTAGAGCGTTGTTATGGGGATAAAGTAAACAGGATATAAGAGGATTCGAAATGTCTTCAAGTGATAATTTTTAAGCGAATATGAAAATGTTCTTTGTATTCTTGAGTAATTATCAAAGATCGTTGAAAAAAATTTGTAAATTTGTAGCCTCTTTGCGAAGAAACGAGATGCTTTAAAATCGTATAAAAATGTTACCAGGCATCGGAGTGTTTGGAACTGGAAGCGTAGTAAAAGTATTCATTCCTTTCTTGAGAGAAAAGGGCTTTAAGATAGAAGCCATTTGGGGACGTACCATTGCAGAGGCTTCGGAAATAGCTGCTGATCTTGAAATTCCATTTCATACGAGTCGCATAGACGACGTACTCTTGAGAAGAGATGTCGACCTCATATTTATCATGTGCTCGCCAAGTTTACATGCACAGATTGCCGTTAAAGCTTTGGGGATTGGAAAGCACGTTGTGTGCGACAAGCCAGCTGGACTGAGTCAAAGCGAAGCTTTAAAGATGGTCAAAGCTGCCCAGTATTATCCTTCCCTTATAAGTATCGTTAACCATAGTTTGCGATTTCTTCCAGCTTTCATCAAAATGAAGCGAGAAATTGAAGAAGGCTACCTAGGGGGACCCATCAACGTCATCGAGGTTCGAGTACAAATGGGCAGTTTGGTACAAGAGGGTTTGTACAAAATTTTCTCTTTTTGAATAAGAAACAAATTATGCCTACTCTTGTGTTGACATTTTGTGTGTATACTCTTTATGTCAAACACACACACACACACACATATATATATATATATATATATATATATATATATATATATATATATATATATATGTATACACACGCTCGTTGAGAATGTATTATTGCTAAAGTTCAAACGTTTGCATTAACTTTTATTTTAAATTCTTTCGATTAATCGAATGTCTTGCATGATCAATGTTGAAAAATAAAATATTCTACTTTATACGTTAATATAAACAAATATTTTGTGTTGGGAGCAAATGGTCGTGCCCTCTGTAACGTTAAGAATTGATTGTAGGCTACGACTGGCTGTGCGACGAAACAATGGGAGGAGGAATCCTAGCCCTCGTTGGCAGTCACGTTATAGATTTGATATCCTATATAACGAATCAGAAGGCCATAAGAGTTCACGCGGTTGTAAGAACGTTCACCCAAACTACAAAACACGTCAATGGCATCAGACACATAACGTCTCCTGACTTCTGCTGCTTTCAAATGGAACTCAATGGGGGAACACTGGTCACGATAACATTGAGTAATCACTTGCAAGGTCAATTGTCACAGGAAGTCTTGATCTGTGGCTCGAATGGACATCTTGTCGTACGAAGTGGTGACTTGCACGGCTGCAGAGGACAGCAGGAAGAAACCCTATACCTGGACGTAGAAAATGTCCAGGAATTATCGCCAACGGCAAACTTCATTCCTAGGCCCTACATCAAAGGACTTCATAAAATGATAGTTGCGCTGCGCGAAGCTTTCCAACCCGTCGAAGATAAAAGAGGATGGATAAAGGAGCCGGTATCGCGAGCAGCCACATTCGAGGATGGCCTGTACGTTCAGGCTGTCATCGATGCATTGAAGAGAAGTAATAAGCGACGAGAATGGGTCAAGGTCACCATTATGACGGAGGAACCAGATCCGAATCCTTTGTTAAGTGCAGCCGTTAGAGCAACGGCCATTTCGATTTAAGCGAGCGGTCCCGTTGCGACTTTTATTGCAATTCTTTAGTGTTGGCATTAAATTTTCGGGCAATGGTATCGTGAACTTCTGTATTAAAATTTCTAAATAAACGATTTGATCGAGAATGGGGGAGAATGATTTGGAACAACTATGTAAATTACATATTGAAGAATTCCGAGGTCCGGTCGTCTCGATAACCGTGGCATTAAATTATTTTCAAACTACTAACTTTTCAGTCCGCGAATGGTTATTTATGACGATAGAATCAACAAGCGCATCGAGGCCTTAAATAGGCAAACGATTAATATCTTATACAATATATTTTGTACGCGAAATTTAAATTCAAACATAAATTTTTCACAATTATATTATGTTAAAGATTGTGTTGTATTGTAAAAAGATTTGGAGTGAATGTTAAGGAATTGGCGCAACACCGAACAAATCACGCGCGTACACATTTATCAATAGGACAGTGATAGAGAGAGAGTGTTGCGGAGGGGGGAGAGGAGTTTGGAACAAATGGATTAAATTGACGGTTACAGTATTTTCGAAATATTTGAGAAAGAATGAAAAGATGTAATTTTAATGAGCTTGTGTGTTTGTTTGCTCATAGATTTATAAGCTTGTAGATATGCAGGACAATGTTAGTATAGCATTAGTATGGATATAATGATTTAATGATTATTTTGAAAATTTCGATACTATATTAGTTATTAGCCAGTAGAGAAAATACAATTCTTAACACTTCCGTGTGACTATCTATTTATTTTTATACGAAACGTTATTTTTCGAAGCTTCACGGTAATCGGGGGTGGGGGTGGGGTTGTACGTAGAAGGGGAAAAACGAGAGACGACATTTCCTCGATTAATTGTAATTGCGATTGTAAAAATGTGATATAATTATGTATATATAAGCTGTATGTTTGAATAAAATGTGTCTGCCAATAATTCCAAATGCTCTCTTTTACAAAATTATTTATTACTCTTAGGAGGTATTTGTTGCAAATATTTTTTACAAAGAAATAATTTTATTAGCAACGTAAAACAATGTTTATCGCGTTTGTGTACATGTATGTAATACATAAAATAACTCATTTGCTTTACAAATTTGCGATAGGAATAGAAACAATTCAACTATAAAGCAACACTGGACATGTTTTTTTTTTTGTTTTTTTTTGTTTTATATTATTATTATTATTATTATTTATTTTTTTTTTTTCATTTTATTTTGTATTGTTTTTCTTCTTGTTTTGCACAACTACAATTAAAATAATCGATTACGTTTCATGTCCTTTAATTACAGGTGCAAGTACTGAATGGAAAATAAAATCGAAATAATTAATTATGTCCATTGTATACAAGTTAATTATCGCTCGACATCTATAATATAAGATCCTTAATTTCCAAACTGGAGGAATTTAAGGCCGAACGACAAGGAAATTTTTTTCTCTCTTCCGTACAGATCGCTCGTTGAGGTATTGGCGCACCTCACGTTTAATATGCGCTCTCATTCAAAAATGAAAAAATGTGTACTACGTATACATTCGTAAAGAGTGTAAAAAATGAAAGCCGGGCTCGCTTTGATAATAATAAGCTACGGGATGTGTAATCGTTATCATATGGAGCATCGCTAGACGGTGCTTGAATGGCAGCTACTAATCTATCGCTGAAACAAAACATTAATTGAATAGGAGGAGAAGGCAATGAAGTGATGGAGATGATCAGGATGATCAGGATGAGGAGGCGGTGGCTATAATAACGAGCCCAAGCCTCGTGTAAAGTTAGCTAGTTGATGGCGCATCGCTGTTCTCATTATTTAGATCCTTATGTCAGTTCGTTAAGAGAGACGACACACACTTTCTCCTTGGATCGTCAGGGCCCGGCCGCCCCGCTTACGGGCAGCAGTCCTTAATTTTTTCCCAATTTCATCGAGACTCGCGGAAGCGTTTTGCGCTCCTAGAGAACCCATCCCCACTGCCATAAAACCATTCCTCGTTAATAATCGCCCACCTCGATTCGTCGATTCGTCGATTCGTCGATTCGTCATCCTCCCTTCCTCCAGCCTATACCAGCCCACGAGAAGGGGGCGGGGGGGGGGGGTTGTTTAGAGTTGGATTTGCCAGTTGCGAGTTGCGAGTTGCAAGTTGCAGTTGCAATTGATAATTGATGTTGGTGTTGGGAGGAAGACGGCGGTGGTGGGTGGTTGGGGGTGGGGTTAAAGGTGGAGTTGGAGGATTGAAAAGTTTAACCCAAGTTTAACCGATAGAGACGAGTTGGGTGTGGTGTGGTTTTGGGGGCTTATTGGGATTGGAGGGAATAGGAAACGATGAGCTAGTTAGCCCCTAGACTTTGGAGCGCTTCCTGGCGATGGCATCCTCGACGGCCTTGAGCTGCTTGAGTAGCTCCTCCCTTCGTGTGCTGGCTTTTTTGGCGGCCTTGGCCGCGGCAGCGGCGCTCGCCTTATCCATTGGCGGTGGTGAGTCGATGACGCTGCGCTTCTTGCCCGCGGCGATGCTGCTACGGTCGGACTTTTTGCTACCGCCCCCAAGGCCCAACGACTGCTGCGGCTTGAGACTCATCTTAAGCTTCGAACCACTGAGCTTGAGCACCTCCTTGAGATCCTTGCGTCCAAGGGGCGGCGAGGAGATCTTGCGTCGACGGATCTCCGCCGAGGACGAGGAGGAGTACGAGGAGTCCGAGGAGTCCGAGCTGCTGCCGCTGCTGTCGGAGCCCGAGCTGCTCTGCGATGACCTGCGGGTCGTTACCAATTATCGTTACCTCCGGAGCCTACCTCTCTTTTCATAAGCGACCGTCGCTTAATCAGTGCCATCGACGTCTAATTCCGAGCGGGCGTCAAATAATTTTTCCCGACACTGGGATGTCGAATGGTCACCGCGAGAGGCTGCCGCCAATTAATTAAGCCCATTCGACGATCAGAGACATCGATAGAGACTTACATAGACTAGATATTTACATCAATATTTATATCTCGAATTAACCGAGTCGTTAAATTTGCGTACTTTTGATAAGAATGGTCGCGCGATATCAAAAGGAATATTACTTTTAGCAGCATTATTATTTTAATTTCATTTATTATTTGAATCTCGACTTTATCGTGTGCCATGTACGTGAAAAAAAAAAAAATTAAAAAATAAAAGCTAATTATAATGTGAAAATAAAGAACTCGTATCGATAAAAAAAAAAAAAAAAAAAAAAAAAAAAAAAAAAAAAAAAAAAAAAAAGACAAAAACAAAAAAACAATCCACCCCATTCGTGACTTATAATTATTAGTCACACGATGCCTATACATTTAGGGTTGGATCGTTTCCTTTATCAATCCAGGAATAATAATAAGCAATTATGTTAAAGCGATATGAAAAATTTAAACTACTTTTATTTCGGAATATTTGAATTCCTCATTAATCGCTCTGTATATCCATAAAGCGTACAAATTATAAAATAAAAATTAAACAATAAATTGCAATAACTCGCGTCATTTTATCTCTACAGAAAAGTAAAAACATTTATACAATTGACTTTTTCAATTAAATCAATTTATTAATGTTACAACGTGCGCGATACACGTTTAATACAAACTTAATTCAAAATGTATACCAAGCTTAAAACATCCAATGTAACTATAATAAAGCAACACGTAATTATAATTTAATTCAATACAACTTTATTTAACCATTATATATATTTATATATATATATATATATATATATATATATATATATATATATATATATGCACGTATGTATGTTTATGTATGTTTATGTATGCATGTATGTAGGTATATTAAAGAGTTAAAAAAAAATACACAATGAACGTTTATTAACATTAAATGAATTTAATGTTTTTACTTTTCGATCAAAATAGAAATTTCTATCATGAAAATGAAATATTTAAAAGTAATTTTCTCTCAGTATAAATGCGTTTTCTTTTATCATGTAATCCATGACGATTTAATAATTCGAACATTTGTAAATTAAAATTAATTTTTCTGTTGTTAACACACTGACTAATTTACAAAATCAAAATAAAATTTTACCTATTCTTCTGTAAATTACTCAAAAATAAGGAGTTTAGAAAAAAAAAAAAAAAAAAAAAAAAAAAAAAAAAAAAAAAAAAAAAAAGGTACATTTTTCAATGGTCTTACGTTTAAATGTTAAAGTCAGGTATTTTGGAGAAATAGGTACGTTTGAATGCATTGAATAAAATTAATATAAAACCTGTGAAGTCATTTTGATTTGCAATATATAATTAACAATATTGTATATTCATAAATTATTAAAATATATATATATATATATAAAATTGATTTAATATTCCCTCTAACGTTATTATTTAACTTGAATTTTTGATAATTTTTTTAGGCCTTTAGTACTTTTACAGCTTAATTCGACAAATCAAATCGTAATTATACTATCAGTTATACTCATATATAATTTGACAATAGAAATTATCATTTTTAATATTTTAATGTTTATCATGTATTCTTGATTTATAATTTCTAGTTTTCCGAGCACATAATATTTAATAAATCTCAACAATAATCAATGAACTGATTTCATAGTACATTATTTATACACGTATAGGTGTACGTGCGTGCGTGAGTGGCGTACGTGCGCGTGTGTGCCTCGGGTATATTTCGTTTAAAATCACTTTCAAATATATGTGCTAATTGTATATTATTTTTTTGTAATTCAGTAATCGCAAAACACTCACATTCTCGTTACAGCGTCTAAAAACAAATGTTAAATTATCATGATCGCTTGGCGTATTATTAATCGTATGTTTTTTGTATTGATTCATGTGTTAAGGTTATGTTGAACCGTCGGGTTTGGTTATTCAAAGCGTCCGTGTAATTATTAATAACGAAGGCCGGATATTGGCCATTAATATTTGTTATAGTAGTACGATAAACATTTATATTAAAAACACCTTATAAAAAAGAGAATATTTTCTACTGAAAAACTAGAAAATAAATGCTTCATCGATAAATAATACGTACTATACACAATAAAGCATTATGAAGAAGCACCATTAATTTTATGATTTCTAATATTATAGTGGCTAATTTCTCCGAATGACTTTCTCCCACAGGATGCGCAATAAATACAGCATTAATAGTACGTATTATTTAATATAATTCTACAGGATTGCTCTTTATCTCGAATATTATTTACAAGAGACGTTATTCGGAGAATTTTATTGGAAAATTAAATGGTAAATGAGTAGTTTTTTTTTTTTTTTTTTTTTTTTTTTTTTTTTTTTAATAATAATTATAAAATCCACTGTATTATTTTAGTTTACAATTAGGGAAGAGCAGAGATTTTTTTGTTAAAACAAACCACAAGCATTACATTATATTTATGAGGCATATGCCTCTATAAATATACATATACGCGTCATAAATATATTGATTCTACCTAAATTACAAAGCAAAATATATCTCTAATAAAATTCTTGCAAAATTTTCCAATGAAATTCCCATAAAAAGGTGCGCCTACGGGAAACTACAGATTACGTAAGTGCAGATTAATAGGATTATTTAATTATTAATTTAATTATTTTTAGCTTACCGCTTTAGTTTCTCTCTCCTTTCAGATTGCAACAGATAAAATTTTTTAATGTATAATTTTAAATAATAATAATAGCACAAATTAACGTACATTTAAGCAACAAGTACTGAAAGAAATTCAACTATTCATTTTCATCGATGACTTCTTTCTATTTCATGCGAGCTTAACAAATTTAACAATAATTTGAATAATATTTTTAATTATTATAAAAAAAAAAAAAATTACGTGTTTGACTGCTTGTCACTTCCAACATCGAGCCCTGACAAGTATGCGTTCCACAATAAATTCTTACGAGAAACAGTCCCAATTTCTTGTAGCAACCTAAAGACGCAATAGAATTCGTTTTTTAAACTACAAGCGCATTGTCAGAATCATAGTATCGATTAACTGCATTATTGGTATAATAAGGATTATTGCATGCAATTATATAAAGTGAAATGCCAAGCTGTATTGCAAAATTAAAAGCCTTTTGTATCAGTATAGGTAATTTAGGATAACAAATTATATAAGTAAATGTCGTTTATTCAAATGGTTTGTTAAGCTACAGTCTGCGAAAAAAATACTTTAAAAATAAATTATATTATATTGCAATAGTGGATTATTTAGAAAAGGAAATGTAAATGTTTTGTAGTAATAAGTGTAGATTATTTTTTATTACAAAGAGTTGAAAAAATTATTGTCCGATAATCGATGTGTACTTTTAGAATAATGTGTATGTAAATGTTTGCGTATCATTTCATGATTAATCTTGTATCTAGCCAGACTTATACTTTTTCCAATCAGCTCATAGCTTCAATCACTCAGCGAAATTCATAATTATGATTAGTATAATAAATATATCTCCATTTTAACAATTGTATATAAACACGCGCGCGCGCGCACACACACACACACGCGCGCGCACACACACACACACGCGCGCGCGCGCACACACACACACACACACACAAACAAACAAACAAACATATTTAATTTTGTTATTTTGCAGTTGTATACAGCAGAGATCGATAGCTTCTGACATAATATTAAGAACTTTTTTTATTTGTTTATTTAAGTGTAACGACAGATAGTGCATACCAATCTTACCGCTATATGTTTTCTCGAAAAATCAGTACAATTTATCTGATTCGAAAATGGAGGAAAAACATCTCTTTACATGTTTTTTTGTTTTTGTTTTTTGAATAAAATTATACTTTTAAAAAGTGGCTCGTATTGGCCGAATAAAAGACTTTTACCAATAAACGTTTAAATTATTAAGAAATAAAGTAAATCGAACATTTGTACACTTAAACGTAATAATGATTTTTATTAAAGTACATAACGTCCTATGACGCTAGTAACTAATATTCCCATCATACGGTTCTACGTTCTTAAGAGATTTGAATTTCGCACCACAAGAAATTATTAAATAATGTAAAAATTAATTTCTTCTAGACAATTTATTACGATAGTATTACAACAATTGTACAAAGGTTTTTCTTTTTTTTTTTTTAAATAATTTATTCGATATCTCATAAAGAATACAAAAAAAAAAAAAAAAAAAAAAAAAAAAAAAAATTAGATATATATAAGTGTTAAAATTTTTAATTTACACAATTTAAATTTGTTTGAATAGTAATATTTTAATAAAGTAATAGGTGGAATATAAATCTTGCAATTTTAATTAAAAAGAGAGATTAATGAATCTTTAATAAAGAATAATCAGTAATAAGCGTAAAGAACACATCATTTATTGAAGTACCAGACAGCCACAATTTGCACATAGATTAACATAATAAATATAAATTATTTATTTTATTCAAGGTATACACATGTTTATGATAAAAGCCTTTTAAACTTCTTGGTTTATGCAAACGTTGAATTTAAATATTTTCAACATTTTTTTACATTTTGCAGTTTTCACATAGTATAATTGATTCATACTACGATTAATATAAGTCTGAAATAAATCGAAAAAATTATTTAATAATACGGACGGACATGAAGAAAATATTAATTAGTAGTTGACGTCATCATACACAACTAATTATTTCAACTCACCGATATTGATTTTTTTTTCTCTCTTTTTTTTTTTAATAATCTTTTTAAGTATTGAGTTGTTACAATGTTCTGAGGATGCGCTAAATTATTCTATCAAGAAATTGGGACAATTTCTTTTAATTTCTTCTTTTTGTAAAATTATCGATATTAAAAATTATTATCTATTCAAGGCTGAATTTTAGTCATAAATCAAATACACAGAAAATGATCTTGATAATATATTAATAATTTACTCTATTGTTACTTTTAGAAATACGTATACTTATCAATTCTATAAGACTCAGCCAAATAAATGTGTATTATAATTATGTACACATAGGTGTTCCCTATTATATTATATACGCAAGTGCTAGACGAAACTATTGTTCTTCTAGTTTGATATATATATATATATATATATATATATATATATTTTATTAAATATATATTATTATATAGGATCAAAATACCGTCTATGATCAAATAAATAGAAATTATGAAATTATTACTTCAAAGTTATTCAAAACAATTAGCTCGACAAATTAATGTTATACATTAAATAAAAAAAAAAAAAAAAAAAACCATTATATTAAGACATTATTCGCCTGATGAAGTTTATAACTTGTCTGTTTATTTCAAAGTATTAATTTCATGATGTGCTCAATAAATAAAACTAAGCCATTACGATTACTTATAGAGATAAAAATATGAATAAATTTTATCTATGTAGAACGCACCATTAGAACAGTAATATAATACTTGGTGTAATATTGTAACAACTCAAATTTACAAGTTTTCAGAATAATATAAAATAATCATGAAGTTAAATGAAGTAAAAATAGTATGCAACAGCCTATGGTAATTAATTATATGAAATGAAAATTGGAATGAAAGAAAATACAATGATTTACGATTAAATTTGAAAAATACAAATGAACATTTATAATTGACGTAATAATAGACTGATCCTCTCAATTATGAGAAAAAGAAGGAAAAAAAAAAAAAAAAAAAAAAAAAAGGAAAAAAAAAACCACTTTTATTATAACGATAAAAATATTAATAGATATTGAAGAAAACGAATTGGGGTACAGAAGCGTTGAGATAATACTTCGAACAAATGAAACAAATTGCTTTTAAAGTTACAATGCATTCTGCAGACATTTGATATTAGCTGGCAAGTAAAGTTTTATTACTGTTTTGAGGTGCGACATACACAAATAATATAGACTACCAATAAATAAATATAAGAACGTACACTTTGTTGATTAATTTTTACATATACAAACGTACAGGCGGTAACTTGTAAGAAAAATATTTAATAAAGTACCATTAATTAATCAATTAAAATGATCATCCGCTTATTTTGCTAATCAAGGATATACAGCACAGTGAAGGAAGGATATATAAAATTGAGATTGTCGTCGCTTTATTTTTAATAGATTTTTCTTTCGCATTGCGCTATTGTAAGCAATTTTCAATATTACGAAGCTAATATTATAAAGCCGTAAGCGAGAAAACTATATAAGAAAATTAATAATTTATTTTAAAGTTATGCTTTTGAAAGTTTATAAATATTCGTATAGTTTTTTAAAGTGAGTTAAAAATTATCTACAAGAATATATAAATTCGGCACAAATTATCGTAATGAATGAAAAACAATTAACGTTGTGGTTTTATACAACAGTTGATAAATAATTTACATCGACAAAGGTGAAAAATGTTTAACTTTGCAAGATTTTTCTGTTGCGTTGAAATATTTTTACGGCAAATTTTTGTTGGAAATATTACGTTCGGTATGAAGTACTGGATTTTTCAATATTTATAACTAATTGACAAAATACAAAATTCAATTTTAAACGTTTTAATAAAGCAAAGTACAAAAATTATGCTTATAAGCAAATATATAATGTGTATACCTTGAGCAAGCAAAACTGTAGATTGTAAATTAAAACTTTAAAAGGAACAATACCAGCCAAGCAAAAATCATTTAAATTTTTACGTTTAAGATTAAGTAATAATGCTTGTTCTTTACTTGTTGTGTTCGTAAAAGTTACAAAAATTTAAGTGCACCAATGATCAAATTGCATCAGATCATTATATATTCATATTATCCCTCTATTTTGTTAAATTTCACTATTATTATTATTATTATTATTATTATTATTATTATTATTATTATTATTATTATTCTTGTTGTTGTTGTTGTTGTTGTTATTGTTATTGTTATTATTACTTTAAGTTATTTTACTCAATTGAATTGGATAGTATTCACATACCGAGACAATACCATAATACTTATTTCAAATTTATTACAAAAAAAAGAAAAAAAAGTGGGCCTCTTTTGTCCACTCTCATATCGGCTTTCACACAAGACTGTTGTTATTGTTGTCATTGTTGTCATTGTTATTGTAGTAGTAATAGTGGCATAGTAATAGTAGTGTAGTAGTAATAGGCTTTAACACAAGACTGTTGTTATTGTTGTTATTGTTGTTATTGTTGTCATTGTTATTGTAGTAGTAATAATAGTAGTGGCAGTTGTTGTTGTTATTGCTATGATTATTATCGTAATGCTTTTCCACTAGATATCGTCGATGATGTACTTTCCGAGCGATGGCTGCCGTCCGATCTTAATTTGTTATAAAGCGCAGGGCTATGCGACTCGAGAGTGGACTTTTGTACGCGACGTTACAGGCAAAGTCGTTATATAAAATGAGATATAACGGTGATTTTGCTTGCTCGCTCTCTTTAGTCCATGAGGTCGAAAATATTTTACAAATACATTGATTTTGGTTTAAGGCATTGCTCGGTATGTAAATGTGTCGAGATAGGTATTTACTGCCTCATTGCCAGTTGGATTTTCACCACCCGAGCGGCGCTGGTGTGTACGATCGACGGCGTATTATTATTTATTATTATTTCTTGTTGTTGTTGTTATTATTATTATTATTATTAGCCAGAGGAGTTTGAACACTCGAGCCACCGAGGCATAATCAACGATGAAAACGTGATTAGGGTGAAGAGCCCTTGGCGTTGAGGTTTCGCGCGAGGTGACGTCGCATCTCGATTGTCCCTCGTCGCGACAGTAAAAGACCGAACGAGCAAACTCTCGGCTTTGAGGTGTTGAATTGGGTTGAAGTTAGTTTGGTCTGGACGCTACGTCGTCGGGGTCGTGCACAATAAAGGGATAAAAACGCGAGACGCCGAGGGCGTACATAATAAATAAATGAAACTTCAAGAGAGGATGAGAACGTACCTGGACCTGGAGTGGCTCTTAATAACCTTGGCGACAGCCGCGGCGGCGAGGGCGGCTTTGTCCCTGGCCTTTTCGCGCTGCTTCAGGTGACTGGCAAGGGGACTCGGGGCCGGGGGGTTGAGGGCCCGCCGATGGAGGGCGACCGAGGGTGAGCAGGAGGCTGGCTTGGAGGAGGCGCGCGGTGACGGGGCTGGTGGATTCATCAGCATCGCCGCAGCAGCCGCCGCTGTACCACCGCCCACGCCCGCAACGCCGAGGCCCCCGCCGAGACCCACGCCGCCCCCGCGATGATGCGACGAGACCGAGCTCGGGGGTGGGGAGGGTGGGATTTTCTTGCTGCTTACTCTGGACCTGGAGGGGGGAGATGGGGAACGGGACCTGGAGACGGATTCATAAGAACTGTAGCTAGTGCGACTCGAGCTACGGCTAGAGCTAAAAAAAACGTTTAACAGTAATTTTTTCACTTCATGAAAAGAGACTGATGCTTGTTATTCGTTTCAATTGCTTTTTTTTTTGTTTCTTATTTATTTAATTATATTTCTTTACTTTTTTCGTTCGTGCTAACATCGACTTTTTTCGTTCGTTATTTATTCGGTTATCGTTTCTTGCGCGCTTAATGGTTCGATTTCTTAGTTCGCTTGCCCCGCTCTTTTCATACCACGAGACAGGAAGTAAAAGAGAACGAGACGGAGAGTAATATTGAAGATTAAGAATGAAAGAGTAATAATGATGGATTCTTGTATGATGGGGGAGAGGGGAGGGGCAAAGGAAAAAGGACAACTTGTACACTGGAGCAAATGTTAGTAGAATGAGACTATTTGAAAACGATTAATTACATTAATTAGATTCAAAGGAATAATATTAATCAACCAGAATAAGAATAAATTAATAAACACATAATTAGGTTAATAAAGAATTCATGTATTAGTTTTCCTTATCTTCAATTTGTTTAACATCTCTCAATCCATATTCTATTTTCAATATTACTCGAAACAAATATTTATACCACGCAAAATATTTACAACATTTATATGATTAAATTATCATTTCAGAAGCAATTTTTTATTATGCAGCTTTTAGAATTGGCTATGATCGCCTAGATAATCTGCAATTTGATTAAAAAAAATTTTAAAAAATTTTAAACGATAAAAAAAGAAAATTAACATAAACAAGTTTTTCAGCATTGTTCGTTTCATTTTTTTTTCTTTTATTTTTATTTTTGTAAATGCGTTTAATGATAAAATAAAAAATTTCACACACTTTATTGCACGAGTGCTTAAAAGAAAAAAAGATTATGTTAGCATTGACTGTGGTTTTAGTATGTCTATTTTAAAGTGAACACTTGAATTTTAATTCTTAAAGGCTATCTTAATCCGAATTACGATGTCACTTAAATCGATCATCACAATTTTCTAAAGAAAATAGGTGTGTGTGTGTGTGTGTGTGTATCTAGAGAGAGAGAGAGAGAGAGAGAGATAGAGAGAGAGAGAGAGAGAGAATTAAACATAGAAATAGAAATACCTAAATTAACAATTAATTGTTAAACATTAATATTGCGCTGTAATAACGTCCTGGACGTTCCTTCTTAAGCATTCCATTATAAAAAATATTAATACGTATGCCGTATAAGCTACTTTAATATCGTAGAATAGCTAAGCTTATATTGTCTATTTCAATAACTTTATCTTTTATGATTGACAAAAAACAACTATTTATGCTTTTGTATGGATAAAGTACGTTCAACAATCGAGGAACAAACGTGCTTTTATATTTATAGGCTAATTATCAGTTATGTTCCAGTAGTTACAAGTATGACTAAGAGCGAGGCGGTTATTGTATTTTTGAAACATAGCGCGACAACTTTGTAATTGCATTACCATGTGTGGCAAATCACTCAATAACTTATTATTCCATTTTAGAACTAAAATCTCTTTCAGCGTCAATAACAATGTAAGTTACCTCAAACGTCGCCAATAACTGCTTGGCAAATACAGCTATCTAACGAACACTTGTACACTTGTGATCTATCACATATATTTGACCGTTAAAACAAAAAAAAAACGAAAAACAAAAAAAAACATTTCACGGGAAGATCGAATAATAAAATCATCTTGCATCAGTCTTTTCTCGATAATTCAGTGGACCTTAAGCGTTTCGTAAAATACGATTGCACGAGTGCATGCGCATCGGAATGAAAATATAAAAGTGAATGCTAGCATATGAAAGGACCAAGAAGAGGTTCAAACGTAAAAGAATAAAGCACGATCGCAGCTTAATAATGTACCTCGATGACGAATATGATGATCCGGATGAGTAGGACTGCTTCCTCGAGTGCCTCGTGGACGAGGTGGCGTGTCTCCGCCTGAGCGATCCTGGGGACTTGCGTCGCATCCACGGGTCGGCCCACTCGTCTCCCCGGCCACGTTCTATCGGAGGCGGTTCTTCCTCGCGCCAGGTCTTCGCCGATGGTATGCGCTCGACGATGACCTCCCGCGAGGGCCGCTTGTGCTTCTTCTCGTACTTGGCGACAGCGCTGCCACCGCCACCGGCACTCACACCAACGACACCACCGCCTCCGCCGCCGCCTGCGCCAACGCCGCCGCCTCCACCGCCACTAACGCCGCCTCCACTGCCTCCGCCGGCACCAGCGCTGCTCGAGCCTCGATGGTAGTAATCACGTTCGCGCTCCCGCGGGTCCGGTGGGTGGGGCGACGGAGATATCGAATGAGGCGTACCTCGGGCGACCATGTGGTAATCCACGCGCTCCCGGTACTCTGCTGTACGAGGCTCCTTGTAGTGCACCCTCCTAAAAGACGTGGCTTTTTCATTATTGTGGCTCGCTCTCCTCGACGTCCTTCGCGCATCGCACCCTCGAGCTTCGTCGCGGCTCAATAATTGACGTTTGCCTCGGGCCGATGACGATAGAAGCGCGCTTGAAAGACAAAGGATGGTACGCCGAGATAAGAGACACGCGTACACTTGCCGATTCAAACACAATCACTTTCAATTTAAATCAATCGACGATCCAACTTTTACTCCCCTTAATGGCATTAATAAATAAACAGCAAGGAAAAAAGAATGAAAAGCTCTTTTAGCTCTCTTATGAGTATTTAAAATGAAAAATTAAAAAGGGAAAAAAACGCAAAATTTGAAATTACTTTACAGGCAGAATCTTGTCGTAAGAAGCAAATAATTGCGCGATACATTATTTGCTCGTGATAATTAATCTGCTAAAATGTCAGATAACTTGAAATCAAGGGGAAAGCAACACGTGCCGTTACAAGACATTGGCATACACGAATAAATATTTATAAAATCAATGTTCTTATCGCGTATGTAGGCGATGGGGATGAAGTGTTGGAGGAAAAAAAAAAAAAAAAACTTTTACGGGCTGCAATAGTGAACGGCATAAATAAAAATAAGGCTAAAAGACGAAAGAATTGATTAGAATGAGATATAAGAGTAGGCGAGAATGCGAGCGGCAGAAAGTGAGATAGAATGATTTATCGATTCGATTCTGATTGCGCTTTATCGTTTCAACCATGTTTCTGCATTCGCGAACTACGACTAGGAGGTATAAAGATTCGGTCCAGATTGGCAGAAAGACGGGAGATGCCGCCATTCACGCTAATTTTCGTGGATAAGGTTAGACCGCGACGATGCAAGACGATGCAGCTCCAACGTCGTTTTCATTATGAGCGAGAGATCATAAGAGATAGGTGTGACTTAAGATCGAGCATAAAACGAGGAGAGGAACCTGTAGTACTCTGGTGGGGCCCCGGTATGGTAGTAAGGGTCGGGCTCGCCGGTGTAGTGGTCGGGCGTCACCCTGGGAGCGCCCCGACGTGGCGGCGCCTCGCGTGCTGGTGGCCACCTCTCGACGGGTGGCTCGGGACTCGCCGGCCTCACGTAGTATCCGGCCTCGCGGTCCAAATCGTCCTGACCGATGCTAAGGTTCATTTTCTTCTCCTCGAAGTCCATGTCGGACTCCTTGCGCTTGTTCGCCTTCCTCATCATCTGCGGCACAGGGCGTCGCTGGTTAAGTCGTTAGCGATTCGGGTCGCGAGCCTCTCGTTCGGCTCGACCGGAATCAATCGGGCTAATCGTTCATAACTAATCGACGGGGGTGTGGGTGGGGTTGGCCAATTCCGAGTCGACACCAACATTCGCGCCTTTACTTGGCGATGGAGATCGTCGACTCGCAATTATCAAGCACATTTTTCACATTTTATTCGTTTATCATTATTTTATTACAGATTTCGTTTTGATGACATTTCAATTGTCCCTTAAAAGTTTCTTTAGCAAATCGATTGTTCGTTAATGAAAGTCGTCAAGTGCCGGATTGGCCGGGCACATATTTAAAATTTGACATTACCGATAATACTGACTAATTAAGAGATTTAACTCCGATAACTGCTTACGTCACATGTGTACAAGTATAAATAGTCAAAGTATACTAAATATAGAAAATATACAAATATTTTAAGGATACGATAATACTAAATATATTCCTTTAGTTTAGCATGAAGTACAGCGCGTACGTAATACTAATATTTAAATCCATTTCGGACAAATGAAACAGTTATATACATGATTATATACTGGGCATTGCGCTCAATAACTTAATAGAATGTCAGATTTTCTTATAATGAAGAACAAGAACTTGCCCAAGTCGTAAAACTTTCGAAACAGTAAAATGATTATAAACTAACGGATTACCTTAAAAGTCTAGTTTCGTATGACAATAAGATTAAGAATTATTGATAGCATAATAATACTACATTTACAGGGCTGATTGCATAGTTATTTACTAGAAAAATTAATCATCATTCTGTTACATTAAACGTTATCACGACTCTGTAGTTATTTATATCATAACCATGTTATTTATTATTCTTAATGAGATCGAGAACAATTTTCAAAACAACAATTCAAAGTAAAAATTGTATCAAGAGTATGTTAAATTATTGTTTATCAATGGTGGTAGTTACTTAAGAAATAAATTATTTCTCTATTTTAAACAGATTATCTTACAAGTAGTCTTAAAATTTGCTGCCCCTTCCATTTTGCGGGTCGCCAACTACGAATCTAAAGTAAAAATTTATAGTTCAAAATGATTTGTCTAATATAACGAACTTAATAATTAAACATTACACTACAATAGTACACTTTTACAATAACTACGCAAATCTGTAGCAATAAATTAATTAAAATGAATTGCCAAATAAATTGAAAGCATCTACCACAAGCATATAAAGAAGATTTTCCTAAACTATGTTGTCCCTTTGAATTTATAATTGTCCAAGTCATCAATTACAAACAGAATAGAAACGATTATACATTAAAATATAGTAATAAATGTAAAAAAAATTATCATAATCAGCTCAAATTACGATGACGTTTATACTATCTTCGAAGATTTTTTAAAAGTTGAAAAATATTTCAGCTACATTGTTGATCTATGATCAAAATTGTATATGAAAACAAAATTGAAATTGAAACGAAATATTTGACATTCTAATTTTGTCATATCTTTTAGCTTCTGTTTTTGCGACTGAGATTTTTAGAGACAAAATTTTTCATATAAATTATGATGAGCTTATTTTTACAATTGCTATTTTATTGTTATTTAACCCGAATGATCTTTACCCCTGTAATTTCCTATATTACTTGCACGAGATATTAATAGACAATTAATTAAATAAAAGCATTTACACTATTCAATTAAAGGGAAATAAAATTAAAAAGAAAAATAATATATATATAAAAACTATTATGAAACAATATTTCAGCAATGACAATAACTTGATATCTTAAATTGACATTTAAGATATTAAATTAATGAACGGTATAAAATGTTTAATATCAAAATAAACTTCACTAAGTGAACTACTAATGTCGAGTTAAAATTCTTTTAATGGATGAAATGACAAATAGCCCTGATAATTTGTATTTTTTTTGTTTTTTTTTTTTGTTTTTTTTTTGTTTGTTTCATTGTGCATATTTACAAATTTATAAATTTCGCGTTTCATACGAAAATGTAATTCATTGAAACTCTGAGTTATATTACTGTAGTGTATTGATTTAATGTTCTAAAGTACAAATTATTCTTTCTATATATATATATATATATATATATAAATATATATATTTTTTTTTTTTTTGTAAATCACGTTTTAAGTTATTTTCACTGCTAATTATGAATCCGGTATCATTAAATACTACACGATATATCACTTACTGACCCCGTTTTATTACAATATTAAATCTAGTAGTCGCAATAATAAGTTCTTGTGCTCATAATTTACTGTCAAATATACATTCTAGCATGAAACACGGATACGTCACATAAGGTTCATAATATTCAAAGATCGTAAAATATTATATAAGAATTTAAAACATCGTCAACTGCATTATTAAACCAATAGTCACGTTTCATAATAAAATCAGTAATTACTTGAAAGCAAAACACGCGCAAATTCATTGATTAGAATTTTTAATATAAATATTTTTGACTTTATATGAGTTTAAAGGAACGATGGGCATTAAGTAAGTCCAAAAGAAATTATTTCACATTTAAGATATTCTAGAAAAAATTAACGACAATTTAACTCATAATCCAATCGATTTCAAGTGGTAAAATAAAATAATAAGCACGTTACATATTCCCAGTCCAGTGTACTTGAACTATACTAACGCTACTCCAAAAGTAGCCTTCCACTAACGCAAACTGTTTCAAAACATTGACTTCGAATGTAATTTCTACACTTTACAGCTTGAAATGAAATTAGTTTGCCACTTATGGTGTCAGCTTAATAATACCGTAATTAATGTAACTACTTTGATTATCTACGACATATTTACAGCTAATAAGTACATTTACGACATAAAGTAGCCTTAAATAAAACGAAAATATACAATATGAAAAGACAAATGCAAAAGTGCACCGAATAATATTTCTCTGTGTATTGCAGCGCCGGAAATCACTGTGCGAGGCGCAAGTACCCGCGCAGGCCCGTCCGGGCGAAACAAGAAATATCATTTGCCAGTGCGAGCATCAAGCCGAGCGATAAAATCTCGCGTTCTAGCAATCACTAACCTCTTTGGCATGTCGCAGGCCTCGCTCCCACGCGCTCTCGGACACGGCGTCGTCGGTCTTGGGTGGATGATGGGGCACCGGGGGCCCGTAACCCGGCATCGGTGGTCGCGCCATCGGCGGCCTCTCGATGTGCGGCCGAAACTCATGGGGCCCCGGTGGATGGGGCGGAGGATAGGCCATCGGGCGCACCATGTCGAACATCGTGTAGTTGCCCTTGTCGGTTACGCCCGGGTGGAGGAAGCGGCAGCTGACGCCCCACGTGCACTGGCCTCGGTTGTAAAAACGGCATACGGGACGGGGCTCGGTCTCCTCGGGTCGGGCCTCGTCACCGTCGCTCAGCTCACCCTCTTCGAGCTCAGATTCCGCCTTCTCTCCGTCCTCCTTTGTCTCCTCCTTGTCATTTATCTCGCCGGCCTCGCGCATCACCTCCTTGTCCTTCGTCTGGAAATTTCAAACGATAACATGCGAGCTTCGAGCTCCTTGGAATACCAACGTCTGCTAAGAACTTTTAAGTAAACGTATAACCCTTTATTACTGACAACCGATAAGCAGATATTGATCTTCCTATGCGTCGCCGACAACTCTCAAATTACTAAAAATATAGCTATATATGTTTATGTAATTTTGTTTGATAATAATAACCATAACGACGTGCTTAAATACAATTGTGTAAACATTATTTTGATTCGGCGTTATTTTAAATTACACGAACGATATACCGGGAACATTCGCCATATCATGAAATTTTGTATTTTTGAAATTCGACATTCTCAACTATATTTATCTATAACGCATTTATCATACTTTGAAATTTCATTTCGATCTGTATTTGATAGGATGTATTATGGTATCGATCGACATACGTGCGTCTAAATAACAAATTGCTTTCAATTTACAAATGGGAGAAGAAACTTTAGAACTATCATAAGCTTAATAAAATTAATGAATACTAAATTAATGAATGATTATAATAAACTTAATGTGACTTAACGTATTAATAAAAGTGCGAATTCAATCAAATGAATAAATATTACTTCAGCGATTGCTAATTACATCGATTGCGTTGGAATTTACGTGTGTTTGATTGCATTGGAATTCAATTGATAAAACTGCCGTGGACTATTACTTTCGCTCATCTTGCAATTTATTTTAAAAACACTGTCGGTATCCGGAATTCTTATGATGATAAATCATCATACAGAGACGTTTCACGTGACTACAAATAAAGCTATAACCACCTCACAATATCGAATAACTTGAAATAATGAGCTTGAATAAATCACACCGTTTCACAATTTACAACCTTTCGTAATCATTGCACTAGGAATATTGCATTAGTGGGATACGCATTATTTCATAAAATGTTATGTTACCTTCGCCTTGTCCTTGCCCTTATCCTTGCTCTTATCCTTATTAAGGCTCTGCTCTTTAGGCCTAGATGTCTCGATAGCCTCGGCGTCGTTCTTCTTAACCTCCTTGGCCTCCTTATTAGACTGCTCTTTATGCTCAGCCTCGCCATCCTCCTTCACGTCCTTCCACTGGCCGTCGGCCTCGAAATCGAGTTGCTCGGGCTCATCGTTGAGGGCGGTCGTGTTTCCACTTATGACCGTGACAGTTCCGTTGCTCTTGGTCTCTCCGTCGGTCGTGAGATCCGCTGGGCCGCGGACATTACTAGGCCCATTTTCCATGGCAACCCCGGGTCCCTTGAGCTTGCCCTCCGGTCGGTGATGCTTCTGCTGCTGGTGATCGACGACAGGCAACGGAAGAGTCTCCTCCTCGGCGCTGTCGAGGTCCGACACGTCCGAGAGGTCTTCGCCGTGCGAGAGTTGAGCTGCCTCCTGGCCGGCGACCTTCACTTGCTCGACCACTTCATCGGTTTCCATCTCCCCGTCGGAGATCTGCTCGCCATCCATCTCGTACTCAGTCTCGTGGGGAATGCGAGAGGCTGGAGCCGAGGGTGAGGGTGGCTGCCTGTCCTCGGAGGGACTGCGAGGTATTTTGGGTGTACTGCGTCCGGAACTACTGAAACAGCATTGTTCGATAGATGTTTAAATAGATCTAATTCAACTCATTGTTTTTATTTTGCTTTCGAGGGACTCTCGGATTGAGCAAAAGATTTTTCCTCAGAATTAATCGTCAAAGCATATGGTTGAGTAGTGCGGTAAATGTAGGTTAGCTTTTTATCGAGCTTAAACGTAATTGTGAAAATACATTCGAGAACAATAACATTGCGATAAATTGTCAAGTTGAGAGCATTTTTCAAAAGTATGATGAAAACAATCTGATTCTAGCAATTTTATATTAAATTAAGCATTTTCAATTTTAGGAGCAATTCAATTAGAATTGAACGATAATATACAAATCAACCTATATGACAATGAATTAAATATACTGATATTCATCCTGTAAATATATAATGTATGATCGTAATGCGTAAAAAATCTAATTTGTACGTTTCATACTTGATTTTGGTATTTATTAATATAAATTAATATTAAATTGATGCTTTTAAGGTTTGAAATATTAATTTGAATAGATTGTCAATGATCGTGTAGAAATTCTTTAGAAGCAAACAAATGTTACAGTTGGTGGTAATAAAGTAATGAACGTGCGCATGCGCGCGTACACACGCACACGAAACGCGCACGTAAGTACAAATAAAAATATTGAGAATAGTAATTGATATTCTATTTGAATTCATATTTTTACAAAAAAAAAATATCGTTTGGTATTTTGAAATATTCTTCAACTATTAAACTTTATTACTCGCAATCATAATAAATTATAAACAGTATAAATGTTATTATTATATTACAATAAAATTAAAAATACTTTGAATTTACAGAAGAATATTAAAAATTCCTGTAGATTATCCTTAAATTGTATTTTATATATTAAAACAAAAATGAAAGTCTTATTACGTTTTATTATAATATATCAAACAATATATGTACTATACACTACTTATGGTTCATTGTATTCAGAGATATTAAAGTTTAATTGTTGAAAAATGTTTCAAAATGCCAAACGATATTTTCCATGCATGCAATTATTCAATGAATCAAATGATCGATGAAAAATTATAAGGTAGTTAATAAAAGTTTAATATAATTATGATTGCTACTTAATAGCAACATAAAAATAAAATTACTATTATTTATTATTATGACTTGCCGATAGGCTGTTTAGTCATGAAACTTGTGTGGGTTAAGCAACAATGCAACTCACAATTAAGGATAAGAAGTATAAAGAGAAGAAATCGCTCACCCTGTGGGTGATTTGGGTATACTATGCCTGGAGCCACTGTGTTTCGACCTGGGGGAGTTTGGCTCCGAGACATAGGATTTCGGTGAGACAACATCGTCCATGTGAGGACAGCTAACGGAAGTTGGGCTCGACCTGTCAACCGATTGTGCGGACCTCGCGGAGCTCCTACCGGCCTCGGAGTGATGCTGTGAGTCCTCTCCGGAATTCGACTCGTCGTAGTGAAAGTTCTTAGGCGAGTGGTGACAGGAGCTGTGCTCGGAGCCGCCTCTGTCGTCATCGTCGTCTTCGCTGTCGGTCTTCATCGGTGAGGTCGGCCCATAGTCCGGATCCTGTGACTTGGGCGAGGAGGGCGCTGAGAGCGGTGATTTGGGGTAGACCTGGGCAGATACGGGCGAAGCCGGACCCGAGATCTGGAACTCCTCGGGAGAGGCAGGTCCAGAGGCCTGAGTGCTCGGGGAGGCCGGCCCCGAGATCGGAGAGGCCGGCTCAGAGGTTGGAGAGGCAGGGCCGAAGCCAGCCGAACCTGGGGAAGCTGGTCCGGAGGCTGGGGAGGCTGGTCCGGACAGCGGTGAGACCGGACCGGAGGCGGACGAGGGATGACCGCTGCTCGGTGACTTGGAGCGCCCATGCGATTGCGAGGATACCGAGCCTTCCGGCGTCGAGCCCTCGGCGCGATCCTCGTTGTTGCTGTCCGAGGAAGAGCTCTCGGAACCAGAGTCCGACATTGTCATTAAGCTAGTTCAGCCTGGAAAATAAATTACTGTAAATTAGCCTGCCTATTCCTGATTTATCCTCCTCTTTGTCGCTCTTATTATATCTAGAGCTTTACTTTTATATGTATGTTTATTGTTTATAGTGTCGAGTTCTTTCATTTTGGATGATAAATGAGACGGGATGAAAGCTCAAAAAACTGGTGAACAAAACAACATGTGACATTAATCTGACATTGTGATTTACTGTTGCAAAGATTTTTTGTGCTATTCGTACACAGTTCAACAATATTACATATGAAATACCTTTTCAACGGGACTCTATTCTTCAAGCAATACATCATATTTATTTGACGACAAAAATCAAATATAAATTAAATACAGTACGGATAGCTTTACATTAAAATTTTTATTAATAACGTCACCTAAATTGACTGGATCTGAGAATGATACAATTATTATACATATTATTCTAATATAATTCAACTGAAAATGAAAAGTTATTCGGCATTTATAAACAATTATGAAAGAGCATCTCTTTCTCAGTATCTTATCTCTGTACTCTATGCAATGCATGAATAATCAGAAAGTTCAACAAAAACTTCCGTATATTATTATTATAATGTGTAGGCTAAGCAATTTTAGGTTATTTTAATTGACAGATTTCCATTCTATTTGAAAGACACACAAGCTACTCATAATTATGTCTACGTTGTAAAAATTTTTTTTAATAAAACAATTGTTCAATATATGTGTACTCACGTGTCTTTATATTTATTTAGATTGATTTTAAAACATGTAAACATTTAGTATACAATTTTGTGTGTAATTATTGCATTTTGCAGTAGTTGAATAATATATGGTCACCAGATTTTTTAGCTACATGAACAGGAAAAAATAATGACTAATGCGTTCGGCCTGTGCTACTTTGTGTAATACACAAAGTCACAAGATCGATGACCCAATCTATGACTTTGGGCTACAATGGTTTCTTTATTTTATTTTTATTTTTATTTTTTGATTTTAAAGTCTAATTTAAGTACTCACTGAACTGTGACTTATAGAGTCACACTCAGCAACTGGCTGGCTGGGCTTACCTGTGTCGAAAAGAGCCCATGCGTTATTTGCTCTTGATGTTGTAACGCATGAAAACATGTCTACGAGCATGTCGACACGTGAAACTGTTTCTCGTGCTCTCTCTCGTAACGAACTCGACAAGTCAAACTCGCGCTTTACTGTTACATACTCGGACTTTAACTTTTTACTTTTACTCTCACGTACTTTCTCGAACAAACTTTTTTCCCGATAACTTTTCTGTAATTTACAGACTGTACTCATTTTGGTGGCACCGACAGTTGTAAACTTTATGTTTTTCATTTTTGTCAACATTTTACAATACTATGTTTTGGTTTATACTTAAACTTTTTCATGTTTCAACTAGAGCACAACACAAACTACATTGACATACCGAAACGCAAACTGTAAACTTATATACTTTTTGCACTAGGTTGTTTTTTTTTAACGAGCGAACTTTTTGACCTGAAAGAATGGTATTTGGACGTGCGAAAAAAATAGAATGTATTAAGAAAATAGAAAAATTGTTATCAAATAAAAAGCTGGATATAAAAATTTTAAAAAGCATATGCAAGAAAGCCTTAAATCAAGCAATCGCGTAAGGGATGAAATAAATTATTATTTCAATTAGAATAACTTTAGTTGCAGCAGCTAATAAGCATACATATTTTATTCAAACAAAGCTTACACACTTCAAACATATTCAAAATTGTATCATTAACTTTATCTAAGCTTGTATTTATTTAATTCTATGTAAATGGTCGTGTTAATAAATTAAAAATAGATGAATTACAAGTGGATTGAGGCATTTATTACATATCTCATTAATAATAATAATACATATCACTTAATCATCTCTCAGATAGTATATTTTATTTATTTTTAAATATGCTACTATTTATTAATTAAATTATCATTTGTTAAATGAAAAATTACATTTGAATATTATGAGTCTGAAATATTTAAATTATTTGTTCTGTGTAATTATTAGGAAACTTTTGATTATGTAATCTATATATTACAATTTATCTACTTGTGCCAATAGTTTAATAATACATGAAATTGTATGTTTAAAACTATTAATTTAAAGTAGCCATTTAATTATAATGTAAAGCAAATGAATTACAATTATCAAAACTGTGACAAATAGAGGTTAATTAAAAGTAATATGTTATTAAAAAATTTTATCAAATAACACTATTTGAAAGAAATAAAATGAAGTCGAATAGTGGTGTGGTACCTATTCTTAGGGTCATTTAACTAGATAATTTCTCATATTCATAAGTAATAATAATATTTTTAAGAATCAGGAAAGAATTAAGGATTCAAATTTCGAAGACAAACTTATGTATTTACTTTCTACTCGATAATAATAAGTGAGCTTTGAACGAGGATCAATGTTTAAATTTAATTACATCAGACCAAAAATTGGTGTATAAACTTCCTCCGCAGATATTCGCATGAAGACTTAAAAAGTGGTTACAACATGCCATTGTGAATATTGAGGTTACGTCAGAAAGACATCGCCGCGGTTTATGTTATAAAAACTGCTGCAACCAGATCCAACTAGCATCGCGAGGCAGCTCCCGTCTATCTCTACAATTTTTAAATTATTGCAAGCCCACATGAGTGAAAAGAAAATGTTGAACGAAGCAATCCAAACGACGAAAAGAAGAAAAAAAATGTATTTGAATGAGAGAGAGAGACGGAGCATGCTGCGTCTCGCTCGGCTCGTCCGCGTCACTCTCCTCTCGCGTGCTTGGTTTATAGATTTTTATTGTTAAACGCATATAAACGCTTAACAAACAAACAAAACAAAAAAAAACATACACATATACGCATATATATATATATATATATGTAGATATATATACACACACATGAATATATCCAATATACACGTACGCGCGCGATCGCGCGTGTTTTTATGTGTGCGTGTATGCGTGTGTAGGAACGCGCGCACAAGTGTAGGTGTGCATGCGCGGGCATACGTATATATATAGTACGCATGTGTATGCGACTATACACGTATTTAAAATGTGTATGCGCGTGCGCGCGTGCATACGTATATATATGTATATATATATGCATGCATATATTTATAGCTACGAATTTAAAAATTATAATTTATGTGTGTAATAAATATGCGAGCAATTGTCATAAGGAGATTAATCCTTTAGGTGAGTATTGTGTGTGTGTGTGTGTGTTGTGTGTGTTGTGTGTGTGTGTGTGTGTGTTGTGTGTATATATATATGACTCCGAGTCCGAGTGCGCCCCTGTGTGCGTGTGCGCGCGCGCTTAGGTATCGTTGAAATAAAGAGTGCAAAGGTGTACACAGCACTGTTTTACAGACGCATAGGTTAAAAATCATAGGCCGCTCATATATGTGTGTACAGGCACGGACGCACGCATGTATTAACGTCGTCCCATTTCTTCATTACTTAATTCGCCTCTTAAGTATTTTGAGGTTAAGTACGTTACCTTACGATGGGCCTAGTAGACGGGAGCCGGAGCCGCAGCGCCGAAAGAGGAGCGAGAACTCGAGAGCGTTAATGTTCTCGACCGGCTTCGACGTCTCACACGACGTGGTCGTGGTTGCGTTAGCCGTCGCCAGCAACGCCAGTTTCGTCTCGCTCGTCAATAAAGAAAAAGCCTCGGCAGATCTCTCAGGTCGCCAACGACGATCCCTCTTGTCCGACGGACGACTAGGTGCTCTTTTTTTCTTACTCGCTCGGCCCGTCGCTTGGGCGTTCCTTCCCCCCTCGCTCTCTTTGTCGCTTCGTGAGAGAGTGAGAGAGGGAGAGGCGGCCGTCTGTATCTACGCGCCTGCTGCCGCTGCAGTCGCCGCCGTCATCGCCGCCGCCGCCGCCGCCGCCGCCGCCGCCGCTGTCGCTGTCGTTGTCGCCGCCACCGCTGCTGACTTGTCCTCGCTCTCTCGTACGATTATTCGTGCGCTAGCCAGCGTTACTGCCGCGGCGTCGGCTTATTCCGTGCTCTGGAGAAGCACGACGATCGATGGCCTCCCTCGGCTTTCCGGCCTTCCCTGCCAATCGCTCACTTCGCGCAAAGACCAATCCGCGTCCCGGGCGTCCCGACTCCTAGTCCCTCCGCGATCCTCGTCACCCTCTCCTTAATAACCCTCGACCGAAGCGCTCCACGCGGTCACCTACCGCCACCTCGCACTTCGTCGCTACTTTTAAAGGCCGACGAGCACCGGACGACCGTCGTACCATCGAGCTCGTATCTCCCCGTAGTCGACCAGAGCCGTTAAGAGCAGTCGGTTGGACAATGGAATGGAATCGGGTTGATTACGCTAATATTACAGCTAGAGGCAGCATGTTGTGTCGGGGCCGAGCCTAAGGTCCTCGTACTCGTACTCGTCAATAAAATTCTCGTTAACTCGAGTACACGCAGTATACGTGCAATGACCTATGGTTGAGGATTGCCGGGCATCGAGTAGAAGAACTAAAATAACCTCTTAAATGTGGAAACCACTTGCTTTGTTCCCCACTGCGCTTTATTCGTAATAGGTGTTCTAATATGATCAAGGGGCTCTCACTCTCTCTGTTCATCGACGATTAATTTGCCTTGCCGAGGGGATACTTGCGACAACTAGAAACAATCGTCGAGGTGCTCCGATGCAATCGCCTCTTGTCGTTACGAGCCTTTTTTTTTGCCTCCGGTAGCAATTTATTTTTGCTCGAATCTGCTGGAATCTGCTCGAAAAATGGCCTATTTCGACTGCTTAAAATTGATTCGACTGATTAGCTTTAAAGAATGTTTCAATTTTTTTAAACTCTAGTTACGATACTTTACACCCACTCGATTATGTATGCAATAAGTGAACAAGCCTGGCCTGATTTTCATTAAATATTGCCGTCGCTTGTTAATAGTCGGTAATTCGTTGTGATTACCAATCATGACGGTATAATTTAATAATTCATAATGCTCAAGTAATTATGTTGAAACTGCTTTTCGGCCAATTTTTTCACTCCACTGGCTATAATAATAAATTGCTCATATCTTAAGAATTCGCGAAAAATGAACAATCGTTTTAATAATATTATTGCACAGTAAATATATGGGTGAAAATTTTAATGTAAAAAGGACGATTCATATTCCATGCCAATTGTTAAAAAAAAATACAATTTCATATAATGGATATGGAAGCAAAAATTTTTTATGTATATACATATATATATATATATATATATATATACAAATTTTTGCTAACCATTCATTATTTTGACAAAAAATACTTTGCACAAGTGACACTTGTTTTTGCATAAATTGAATTAATATTGATGAAATAATTGTTGAGTAAAATTAAAAAAAAAATCAATTCTTTTAAATTTCTTGACTTAAAACATACCTGTACTACCTACGATGTAAATAGATGCACCGCCTCATTTACCAGGTACTTGCACATGTACTATACGTACCTACCATAAATTATCACATATATTACACATATTACAATATATACTTTAAATGGATAGCAGGGATGTGAAAAAACAACATAAAAAAAATATATATATTAAGCTTTGCAATCAAATAGCCACTTTATATTTCCATTAATAATTACACATAACAGACTTTACGAAACAAAATAAAAACAGCAACCATAAAATTCACTGTAGTCACTAGTATTCTTACCGGTTATGTACAATAAATCAACTTAATTTGTATACAAATTACAAATCATATATGTACACAAAAAGAGCATAGCTAAAAGCTTGTATATATAAATTAAGAAATTTTTGAGCATAATTTTTTTTTTTTTTTTTTTTTTTTTTTTTTTTTAAATCATTTTGGAAAGGCGATTGCGGACGAGATATCTCTTTATTCCTTGAATATAAGATTAAATTAAAAGCTTTAATTTAAAAAGCTTTGGTGTGTGGTGATTATTGAAAATTTATTTATATCATATAAATATACATATGCATATATATATATATATATATATATATATATATATATATATACATACATAACATATATACGCGCGCACGCACAAACACACACATACATACATACACACACCGATACACATATATATATATATATATAATGTATGTATTTATGCATGTATTTATAAATAATATGCATAATTGACTAAATTTCCCTAAAAATGGGATACGATTATAAACTTTTGTGTGAAAGACCTCTCCATTTGATAAATAACAAATTGTTCGATAAACAGTCGTTCGAATTATCGACGACTTAATGTATATCATTGCAAAAAGCATTTAAAACGAAATCGGAACGCGATTTATCAAATAGAAAATAATACAGCTAGATGCTGACAAGAATATGTACTTTTGTGATCTTGGCTGTATGCACTAATGTTGTCTGAGTAAAGCCGAGAATCAAAGCTTCTGTATACGTATTGATATAAAAAATTTCCACTAAGTGCTAAATTGGTATATGCGGAATGTGCACTTTGCTGGAATGTGTAGGAGGGAATTCTGATGGCCATGCGGTTAGCAGGGGCATCGGCACCATTTCCAGACGTTGACTCCTCTTAGGGTAATTGCTCGACATAATTTTTCGGTATCAAACCGGTTTTACCATTTAAAGTACCGACCAACCATCCTGGCTCACTTGAAGGTTGAACTATGGAAAAAAAAAATCATTTATTATTATTAAGTAATAATAACGTTAATAATTAAAAAATGATTCTTATATCTAGTGTTAGAATATAAAATGTACTCATAAAAATATTCCTTTCAATATTATTTAAAACAGAGATTGTATTAAACATATAATTATAATTTTTATCGGTGGAGATTGATCGCTCGACTCAAACTTACTTCCATTCATCTAAGAATAGGTTTAGATCGAAGAACAATTTGATCATGCGAAGCTACTCGCGGTCGCGTTTAAAAGAATCAACGATAAATGAAAATCAATAATAAATAAGTAAATGTAATTACCATTTGTAATTATCTGATTCGGTTCAAATGATAATTCTCCAACGCTTTCTGCCATACAGGCATACAATGTTCGTACTCTCCTTCAAAATGAAACATTATAATATAAATTTTTATAACGCTGAAAAATCAAATCAAATATTATTACAAATAAATTTACCAAATTCCTGATCCTGGACTGGAACGACCACTGCTAGGTGATGTGTTTACTCTATAATGGTTAAAAAATAATATGGAATTTATTTTTATGTTTCAAAAATTTAATAACAATTTAAAAATAAAATAACAAAATAAGAAATGAACAAATAAATAATGAAAATAAACCATAAGCTCTGTATTATCTAGTTTTTAATAGTAGTAATGGTAATGATTTAAAATTACGATTAAAAATAATATGAACGATAAGATGATAATCTGACGGATATTTTGAAATTTTTTTTTTACAAAATATCAAACGCTAGTCTGGAGTTTAGATCGAGTTGACACAAAAACTAAATATTCCTATTAAATGCTGATACACGATTACAGAAGCCTAAAACGCGATAAGATGATGAATGTTTGTATCAACATACTGAACACGAGTGCGTAATCTGAATCCTTGATACCTCTCTCGCTCCTATTCAGCATAATAGACATTAAATGCGACATTCCACTCATGCCGTTTCAATTCTTTATCAAGATTTTCATATACGTGTAAGCCCTGTCAGACCTTCATTCCCGCTTGAAATGAAATTATCCGAGTCAAGTATTTACACATACAGGCGCGCGCGCGCGCGCGCGCTCGCAAGTAGAAATTGCAAATAAATTAATATTGTTTTAAACAAATGGATTAGGCCATATTGGCTGATTAAATCAATCCTTACTCTAATAATCAATTAAAGCGAAGAATTTATTTACTCACAAAGACATTATTGGATTACTACGTGACGGATAATTAAAGTGAGTGTTGACCAACATGGAATCTCGTTTTTGTTTCACAGGTACACCAGTGCTGACATACGGTGGTGGATCACTAGCTATCGATTCACTGGAACTACTTGTGTTGCCACTTCCCGAAACTATAACATTAATACATACAACATAAGATTCCAAATACTAAATACAAAATATTATCTATTTATTATAATTATTTAAGAGTTCATTGTAAATGTACCTCTTTCAGTCGAGTGATACATAAAGTTAGCATTGCGATTTTTCAAACGACCAATATGACTGTCTGCAAACATAGGCATTCGGTGACTAGGGTGTTGTTCCGTTTCCTGATAATCCTCGCCATTTTTCTGATCCGCGTCAATTAGCGTTGCTTTAGAACTGACCGATAGCGGACTATCATAATAGGATCTCGTTATTTCCTGCTTAACAATGAAAAAGTATTCGATATAAAATTGATTTTTAACTGTATTATTTTACTTTCATGGACAATATAATTAACAAGCTCTACATGACTCGATAAAACGACATCCAATAGTCTTTAATACTCAAACTTTAGATTTACGTAATTACGTCACATACATTATTCCCTTATATATAAATTAGATTGTAAATTATAGCATATTAGCCTATATAAGCAAATTTAATGAATTATATAAATTTTCTTCAAACTTGTATAAAAAAGTTAATATAAATAACTTGAATATAAATTTAATTATAAAACAAAATATATTTAATTGCATAAATAACTTGAGAAGTTACTTTGTAAATGCTTCAAATGTTGCATTCCATTCCATTAATAATATAGAAAGCTTAGTAATAAATTCTCCTCGCCGTCCCCCAAAAAAAAAGATTTTAAACATTACCTGTACTGTAGCTGGCACTACAGTATGCACCGAATAAGATGGCATATGAACGGCGCCATTTAATGTGACGCCTTGCTGCTGTTGGTGTTGCTGGTGTTGCTGGTGCTGCTGCAGTTGCTGCTGCTGCTGCTGCTGCTGCTGCTGCTGTTGTTGTTGCTGCTGTTTTTCATCTTTATCATCCAAATGCTGTGTGCTTGTTATTGCGAGATTTTGTCCAGTATTTGGTGCCTCCTGTGGTGGGCCTGCCGTTATACGTTCGCAATTCTCGATTAATATTTCCACGACAATATTGTAAAACTTTATGTCCATAATCGAGGCTACCGTTTCCTCTTCGGGTCGCAACAAGGTTGGACCAAAGCACACTGCCAGATTCCCAACAGTCATGAGATTTTTATCACATTTCTTAGCAACCCTAAAGTAAAAGAATTATACAAATTATTTTTCTTTTTGATAGAACTAATTGAAAATTAAATTGAGCATTAGTGAATTTTAAAATAATTAAAATAATAAAAAGCAATGATTTTTTTATGACATTTACATTTAAAACGTTTAAAAAACATTATTAAAATCAGCACTATTGACGAGTGATTGGTAATACGAGTATCATTTTTTAAACTAAAGAACGAAGCTTAATGTTGATAAATACATAATAAATATAATATTGAGATAATTATTAAATTGTATTCTAATATTTATCAATTATTTATTTATCGACGCTTGAAAAACTAAGACAAAGGTATGTTGTGATTCATATTGTAATGCGAACGCTTAACAAGTGATCGGAATAATTACTTGCGAAGATGATTAATGAGCAATATAAGAACATTGCAATTTGGCTTAGGAAGACGATACACGAGTATGTGTATGTCATTAATACGTAAATCCTTTGATTCTTGTTCTAAAATAAGAAATAAACGAAACATTGATTATTATCATTATTATCTAATAACAAATAATAAAAGAATATTCTATTTTATTATATTAAATATTTACTTGCTGCAGCAATGAAGCTGTCGTAATATCGGAATGTCATAAGGGGTTCTGAAAGAGTTCTCAAATACGTTTTTAAAGCACTAGTAATTGTCTTACTTTCCCACTCGTAACGATTTTCTAAGTTTAACTTTTCTAATTTCCTTCTATCAAGGCCCATAGCCAGCAGTTTATTTACTTTAGAAGCTACCCCAACTACGCGATAAAGTCCTTGCTCTTCCAAACCTATAAAATCAACAGATTTTTATACTTTCAACTATAATAGTAAATATTATAATAGAACATTTTAATGATCTACCTCTGTCTTCTAGCACTTTTATGCACTTGGAAATAAACAAGAGACCAGTTGCGTCGATCACATTTTCGTCTGGTTTTGCTAATGGACCTTGTAAAGCAGGAACCTACAACGAATAACAATCCAATACAGTCTCTCAAGAAAAATGTGTTCAAATATTAATTAAATCTTACAGGTTCTCGTCCATCCATTGCATCCATCCAAGCCTTCCTATCATTTTCCGACAAAGCTTGAAATGTATACACAACGCCAGACCTGAAATATTGTTATAATTTTAATATTTAAAAGTGAATTTTTTAATTTTAATTTCCTTACATTAATTAGTACTCGTCTTTATTACACTTCTTTTTTTTTTTTAATGTTTATGTTATTATCACTTTTATTCACCAATATTTTTAGATAATTAGAAGCAAACATATTTTTAAATTACATTAAAAAATAGAAGATTAAAAATATACAAAGAACAACTTCTTGAGTTTAACATAAAAACTAACCTTCCAACAGCAGTTATATCAAAACAAAATCTTTTCTCTATTGACTCGGACATACGCCGAACACAGGATGCCAAAGTAAAAGTATCTTTACTGCTCTATTAAGGAAAAAAGAAATGATTGTTAGTTCACTATAGGCATGCTTTTAAAAACAAATTTGTTTTTGTGCAAGGTCATTAAACTTACAAATTTGCCTGTGAGCTGATTATAAGGTATCATAGTAAATTCCTTTTTATCTTTCTGATATGTGCAGTATTGTTTTGTCCAAGTGGTTCCAAAAGCCTCTGAAAAAATAGTTCGCGATATCCTTCCGCTATTTTACATATTTACTTTAACGGTTCAACGACTAATTATTAGTCGTAAGTTAAAGTTAGAGAATTAATTACAAACCAAAACAAAACAAAAAAAAAACAAAAAAACATAGTATGCGAAAATTAGAGTCGCGAACTAAATTTCGTGAGATTGGAAATGGATAAATACATTGAAAGTGTGATGGTTAAAAACACAAACGTTTAACATAAATGAAAAATTAGATTTATGATAATTTTTATAACTTACTCTTCTCCATAAGAAACAAGTAACCTTCTCTACTGTAGAGCTTATTGGGGCCGCTTTCAATGGCAGACTAAAATATAAAAACCATGTACATTATGAAATAATTAATAATAATAAATTATGTATATTAAATTTTTTGAATAATTGCACTGACAAATACAAAAATTTTTATTATTCTATAAATAATTTCTATTTTTTGGATTATAAAAAATTTATTAATAATACAACAGACAGCTTAAACACAAAAATCAAATTACATACCTTCTTTACGTCCTTCATTTTATTCATAAGAGACTCTGTTTTATCCCGCGTAGCATCGAAATTCTCTCTAGTCTTATAAAACACACACACACGCAAAATTAAAAATTAGTTGTAAGTAAATAAGCAAGCAGTTATTTATTAGCAAAAATAAAATTAGTTTAAATTTTCATTAATAATATATTACGTACTTTATAAAATTATTCATTTTCATGAGCTCAATTGTATAAACACAAATTTTAGAGTGAAAAATATTTAAAACAACATTTTAAATTAAATGGCAATATGTTCCTAAAATTTATTTATCAATTATTTGTGTTTACTGAATTTTTAAGTTAAAAGCTTTAAATTAAAAGCTTTCTTCTTTTAAATCCAACACCATAAATTATTTTGTAAAATAAATGCAGCTTGCTTAAATGAAACAAAGCTATTCCTTGTAATTTTAGGTAAATATATTTTTAGTACCTACAAGTAATTACACAAGAAACATATTGCAACGTAAATTAACTAACCTTCTGTATCTTGAGCTGTAATTCGGTCATATAAGGTTTGAAATCTTTGGCGACTTCGTGGCCTTGATGATAAAATGTAAGCCAACCAAACATAAAACTCAATAACTGAAATATAATGAATATAATAAATTTATTGCTTTATAATTATAATCATATCTTTAGTTTGCATTATAGACTGTGTACAAAAATTACTTACTGTTTCAACAAATTCAAACTTTTTACGTTCCTGAACTTCTTGTAATAGAAAAACGTATTCTAAGCTTGCTTGACAAAAATGCCTTTCGGCCATGTCCAATGTCGCATCCGCCTATTAATGAAACAATTTACAAAACAATCTTACAAATAAATATAGCATAATTTATTTAACTACCGAAACATTGCAATTTCAAATTTCATAAAACAAAATCAATATGACCAATATAAAAATTCATTACTAATTATATTTGATTAGTACCTACTCCGATTGAGAGTAAATTGAAGAGACTAGTTCAAGATACAAATAACATACCTCTTGAAGAACATTGTCTTGCTTCTTAGTAGAAAGGTTCAAGTAACGCTCTTGACTTTGGCAAAATTTTACTGTTTGTTTTTCAAATTTCTTCTTTCCCTCCTAAAAATCATAATAATTTACATTAATATTTCACATTATTATAATATGAATATATATTAATGACCTACCTTTACTCCACCTATATGGGTTTTTCTAAATTTTTCCAAAGGCAGTATAATTTGATCGTACGCGCGTTCCAACTGAAAGAAAATATTTTATATTGCTTTTTATTCTGATATTATCTAAAAAGTTAATAAATCGTCATAATTAAAGTAAAGTGTAAGATTAAAATGTTTATGTATAATTATATAAAATTAATATACAAAAAACTTTGCTATTCGTTATTAATAAAACTAATTAATATTATCTACAATTCACTCAATAAAGAATATAAAAATATAACAGATAAATAAGCTTTTAAAATTCTAATATGCATTTAGTTTTCTTTATTCCTGATAACAAAGTGAAAATGTAAAAATATAACTTTATTGAACTCCAAACAAACCATTCATAAAAACAACTTAATCTAAACAAAATGAAAGCATTGTAGGTTATTTATACTCTATTGCCAAATATGTCTATTGAATAATTAATAAATCATCCTCGACTCACAAATCAAACAAAATGAAAATATTATAAGAAATTTATATTCTATTTCCAAACAAAATATATCTATTATTCTACAATCTAGATTTGTTATATAATTATTATACAAATCCTTAACAATAGAATAACCAAAGCTAAAAACTATACATAGGCAATAAAAAATTTCACTCGTGTATTAAATATAGATTTTTAGAATAATATATTACTTATATTACAAGAATTTATAAGAATTCAAATACCAAATGAAGAAAATACTACAAAATATCTTTTGTATATGAGAATTTGTTATAAGAATAAAAAACTAAGATTTGTATACAAGAATAAGATATATGTAATAGATTTTGTCTAATCTATGATAATTTGCTATATTAAGATGTAAGATGTAAATTCTCCCATTTTCAAATGTAAATTTTATAATGTTTGCTTTATAGTATTTTCTTTATAATTTACCATATTAAGAAAAATTAATAAGTTATGTCTACTTGTAGAAGAATTTGAGTAAGAGATAAGTGTTATTTGAAAAGTTAGATCAATAAAAATATGTGACAAAGAGACTTGTGTTCTGTGAGAGAAACAACATTGAAAACACTTGAAAGAAAGTTGTTTTCATTACCATACTGTTATCGTTCATGAGATCGAATGAAGTTTAATTCATAAGCATTTGAGTGTTGTGAGTTTATTTGTTGTAGGTATTAAATACAGAAAAATTACAGCGTTGCTAATGTGCTAAGTTTGTGCATACCATGCGATCACGCTCGTCTTCGATCAACGCAATGAGTTTACCAAATTCCTTCAGGCTTTGGGATATGTGTGTTTCATCTTCAGTTTGTGTTTCACCAATACATTCAAAACTAAAGTTCTGTAATGTCTTCGAGAATGCCCTCTGAGCTCTGGAAAGATCTGCAACATAGTGCATTTTGTAATATAAATTTGTTGTTTGCACTATAAATTTAACAAAGAACTCAAAATTAAAGAGCTCAAGATCACTATCAGAGACTCAAAACTGATACATTGTTTAAAAACTAATTATACAATAATTTAAATTTAAACAACAAATCCCATAGAATATGGCTTGATAATCAAGATAATTGCACTCTGTTTGATGTTTCGAGTAATTTAAATATATAGAATTTTAATCCACTTGTTTGTGTAATTTTTTCAATAACAACAGTTTGACTAATTAGAAAGCATTTGATCATTATAAATAAGATAAAAATTTTATATATCAACTAATAATGTGCTTTGCTCTTGGATTATTTTAATCGATGTTATTTTTATATGATACGATCCTGCAATATGATCAATTATATAAATTTATGATACATAAAAATCAAAATAGTTTATATGGTCTTTGAGAATTGCTTAAATCAAAAGTCGTCAGAATCATATTTAGTAAAATATATTTTTTTATAAACACTTATAAAATTTTCAATTGTAAACACAAGTAATTGATAATTATAGATGATATGTGTATTTAAAGCTTATTATTTTATAATACTAAAATTAAATTTTAGTATATCAAAAGATTTTGCATATAATTTTTTTTGGAAAATGTGTAAAAATTAAAATTTTTGAATAATAAAAAAAAGTAAATTGTTTAAATAATTTTAATCTTTCCAATATTGCATTATTAGTTTGAAGAAAAAAAAAAACTCTTTTAAATTGGATTGAAAAGAAATTGAGGAAGATATTCAATTAAATAGTGAATGTGTTTCATATTTATAATTTAAAACATTATTTTCAATACAATACAATCAATGTCATCTAAATTTCTAATATTTTTCTATTTTTTCTATTAATTCTATTTTTTAAATATTTTCAATAATTTCAGATATTTTATTAAAATCTTTGTATCAATTGATAAGGTACAATTGAAATTTTATTTTACAAATTTGCCACGATTGCACAAGTATTTGATTACAATTTTAGATAGTGAAAAATTCAGACAAGGAAGAACAAAAGTTCGTATTAATATATAATTCATTGAATGACATTAAATAAAAGAAATATAGTAATCCTTTTACAATCCAATATAGTAGTCCAATATAGTACTCCTAAGGTATTTAATATCTTGGTACGTCGAATCAAGCATAAACGCATAGCATAGGCAAAGGCCAGTAAGAGCTGGTGACATGCTATTTACAATTAAACCTTATATCTCTAATCGCAGCTCAACCGACATTAACCAGAATAGGTTGTATTGTGAGATAATTGTTATCGAATAGAGCTTGTACGTACAGGTATGATTGAAAGCATTAAAACAACATAGAAGGAAAGCTCTTAATGAACATGACCTTCCACCTTGTATTAGTAGATATATTAAGAAGAGAATAGCTACTTGCAGCTTGTAAGACAAGCAAAGTAAAGAGAGAGAGAGAGAGAGAGAGAGAGAGAGAGAATAAAATATATAGAGACAATTTACACCATGTATCTTTCGAAAATGCGCTTGTCTCTGATTTCTAAATTACGATTAATTAACGAGTTCGCTCGAAGTAAAAATTTGGCGACTCTTTTACAAAAGAGTTAATGTAGCAAGGAGGGAGGGAGGGGAGCAGTATAAACACATGCACAATTGAGTCTCCCCGTATTCTCTCACCGTCTTTCTCGCGCTCTCTCTCTCTCTCTCTCTCTCTCTCTCTCGCTCCCGCTCTTTTCTCTCTCCCCCTCGCGCCTATATATATATATATATATACGCACGCACATCTAATGCGTGTGCCGTGTGTACGTGCGCGTACGTATGGAAGTATGTATGCAGATATAGATTTAAACGAGCGCGAGTAGCATTTTTATGCTCGCATCATACTCGTACGCGCATTGCACTCGTGAATGTGTGTGTGCGTGTGTGTGTGTGTGCGCGCGTGTATGCGTGTGATGCGTTTGAATTTTGACAAGTGTGCAAGGAAGAAAGAGGACACGTACTTTTCGCAGCTGAGAGCAGATCCTTGACCTCCTTGATAAGGCGCTTAATCTGCTGGCTGGTTTTCTCTAGCTCCCGCTCGTGATAGTGGAGATTCTCGCGGAAATAGGGGCTGTCCGTGAGGCAATCCGTGAACTCGAGCGGCTTCAGACCAACACCCATGTTACCTCGTCGATCTGTAAATTTGATTGCGCCTCGTCGCGGCAGCCACCACAGCAGCACAGCAGAGCAGCGCCTACAACTCTTCCTCCTGTGCCACTCATTTAAGCGCGGCCTCGCGCGCGAACTTCACACACCCTTTTATTTTGCCCCTCTCTCTCTCTCTCTCTCTCTCTCTCTCTCTCTCTCCTTTGCTTGTCTTACAAGCTGCAAGTAGCTATTCTCTTCTTAATATATCTACTAATACGATTTAAGTGCTGCTGATGTTGCTGCTGCTGCTGGTGTTGTTACTGTTACTATTGCTGCTGCTGTTGTTGCTGCTGTTGCTGCTGCTGCTGTTGCTACTGCTACTGCTACTGCTACTGCTATTGCTACTACTACTACTACTACTACTACTACTACTACTACTAATACTACTATCACTACTACTACCGCCGCTATCGCTACCGCTGCTCCTATCACTCGGCGCTACTTTTCCCAAATGCACGTGCATTAGCAGCGACTATTTCTTTTTCTTCCCTCTCGCGCGCACTCCACCACGCACACACGCACGCAAGTGACAACCGTGCGAAGCACGCACCGATCGTACACAGAGGCTTTCACAGACACTTTCTAGCGCTCGTTACGTGCCTCCCACAATGACGTTTAGCCTCTCGCGATGGTGACGACGCGCACGTAACAATACGCGTATACTATGGGTGCGCGGGCAGCAGCTTCTCCGCTCTATGCGTTGCCGAATCTCGCTCCTCGCTCTTTCTTCCTTCACTTGCTAAACATATTTTGTCCTATGATGCTCTCTTTCTCCTTCTTCCTCCTCCTACTCCTACTCCTCCTCCTCCTCCTCCTCCTCCTCTTCTTCTTCTTCTTCTTCTTCTTCGCCCTCGCCTTCGTCTTCCTTCTTCTCTTCCACCGCTTCCTTTGCAGTATCTTGCGGCCGCGTGTATCTCCGTCTCCTTTTCTCTCGTTAGATCCTCAACCGAAGCATACGAAGCGAACACCGCACAGACAGACACAGCCACACTTCCTTATGCACCGTACTTCACGATATACAAGCACCCGTCGTCGCGAGTCCTTTTGCTTTTGTGCCGTGCGGGAAAAACTAATGCGACTGGTACGGTAGAAAGCTTTGCACTTTATTCGTCGTCGTTATCCTTATCGTTATCGTTGTCATCGTCGTTGTGTCGTCATAGCTGTCGTCGCTGTCATCGTCGTCGTTTTCGTCGTCGTCGCCACCACGGAACTTGAAACGAATGCGATTCCAGTCGATGCTGTGCGCTCGCTTGCTCTGTGCGCCGCGCGCGCACGCACATACGATAAAAAGGAGAGAGAGAGAGAGAGAGAGAGAGAGAGAGAGAGAGAGAGAGAGAAAGAGAAAGACGGCGAAATGTGAAAAATGTGACTCAATTTATAGCTTCTACGTAGCGTGCGCTCCTTCAATGTGTGCGTACGCGAAGCATCAACTGCCCGACAAATCGGTACTTTAACGAGCACATTCGTACATGACGGTCCTCTTACCAGTTGCAATTTTAAATCTTCTCGCTCTTTTTTACATACTATACATTTTAAGGAATTTTTTCTATTTGAAAACGAGATGTATTCGTTGTTTTCATTTTCTTGATTCTCGATTACTCAATTTGTAATTTTTTCTCATCCACCCACATTTTTCACTAAATATAGCAATATTTTTTCTATTAATTTAAAAACTACTTTGGGTAGTAATTTTAATAAATTCCTATGTAAGCTTACACGCTCATAATTTTCTCGTGAACATACAATTATTGCAAAATTGTCCTCGATTATTTATTTTTTAAACGAAATATCCTTTGTTTGTAACATTTTAAAAATATTTTCATGCCACTGCGTACCATTTTGTGGTAAAATGATTTTGCGTGCGCGCCCGTGTGTGTGTGGGTGTGTGCGTGTGGGTGTGTGCGTGTGGGTGTGCGTGTGGCCCTCGTACTCATACTTTTTACCGCAATAAACTACCCTTTGGGAATGGCAAAATGAGCCTAGTAAATGTGCCATTCAATGACGATACAATTAATTCAATGTTCTTTCTTAAGAACCATACTTTATAAACTCTTAATTACAAAATGAAATATCCACTATGAAAAGTTATAAGTTAAGTTTTTCGAAGAATTTAATCGTTTAGAAACCGTGTGTAGATCAATTATTCGTTGTTTAAAAGGCTTCTTTCATTAAATGCATTAATTAAACGCTGGGATTTGATCGATTGGGTAGTAATGAATGAGAGAATAATGCTAAATAGATATTCGTTTTCAAATGATTCTGGCAAATATGATGGAAAAAAAAAAACCGAAAATTGTTTTGGCAAATCGTCGAGCGATATCGAATTTACCTACCACAAACAGACCAAATCTATTATCAAGAAAAGTTAGAATGAAAATTATAATGACAATGATAATGCAAATTACAATATGCAACCTTCATTCGCTTATATACATGTCATTTTACACGGCAATAAAAGCTATTTGTTTGATATAAAACATGATTAGTGAAGTAATTAATTTTCTTTAAATTGCTTATATCGATCAACATTGGAGCTCAATGTTCAAGAGCCTATCTTATCGTTTGGAAGAAACAGATTGCCGTAGGGCAAAAAAGAGTAATCGCTGTCAAGTTTGCGAGATCGTTTTGCCGGATTTCGATAGCCATTTTGAGAATGGCACGATAATAGTTGCCGACCGACCTTAGCCTAGAGGAAGGACTCCGATCCAAGGCAATAATCGTATTATTTATTGCCTTGACCCTAATTTGTCGTGGTAAGAAAACAAACTCCTCACTGATGAATCATCCTGTCGGGGGATAAAAGGAGGTTGTTAAATATGCCGAAAAGATCGAAGATCGACAAAATATGACAGTATTTACAGGCAATTAGGCATTGGACTCAAGCCAATGAACATTATTGGCTAATCTCACATAACGACACGAATTCCTCACCGATCATCGAACTTAAGCATCGCGATTGCGATTAGAACTAGAGATGAGTAACCGCTTCGGCTCTCATTCCCTACAGATAATTGTCATGCAACAAAAGCCTGCGATATAATGACACTGGCGGCTGCCAGGACGAATTCCTTCAACATGCCAACGTCAAGCGCTACAACCCCTCGCAATACAATGCTTCATTACCAATACATACGTACATATATATATATATATATATATATATATATATATATATACACATACATATGGATGTGTGCGCGTGTGCGCGTGTGTGTTGAGGATTTGCATCTTCAAAATCTCTATAGTCGATATAGAAACAAAATTTATGGATATTTTGGCAAACTACTAGATCGAACAAATCCTTTAAAATTATTTCAAAATTAGCAATTTCAAAATTATTCTTAATTTCAATAATAATGGCCCAAATCCCAATATGCCCAATGAATTGCCTATAAAATTCAATTTTCCCAATTAATGTCTGAAATTTCACGATTTTATACACTACTTTCCATCTGCGTGAAAATGAAAAAATTTTCCAATACCTCTTTTTACCTCGTCTCTGAATGTTGTAATAGAAAATCTTATGGAAAGAATTTAATTAAACTGACAGAATTTCCGGATACTACGATGTCATCGTTTTATCTCTAGCAATTATTATACATCGCGAAAATTTATTTAAATGCCATATTCTTTAAATGTATTGTAAATTATTTATCAAATATTCTATGAATTGTATTATCTAGATTTTTCATTTTTTCGTTATGTGTTTTCATTTATCGTACTTCCTTTTTTTATTCACGAGTAATTTAAAACTTAGTCTATTAAAAAAATATTTAATTTTTGAAATTAACAAAAATAATACACAATTATTATTTAGGTAATGGAAATTATAAAGTGCATTTTTTAATTTACACAAACGTTTCGATATTATTGAAACATCCAATAATTGAAATCAATTAATTATTAATTAACCAACTCCAGTATAGTTAACTAAAAAATATTATATAAACAAATATTGTACATTTAATTGTTCGTCTATTTTTAGTAAATAATTAAAAATAACGAGAATATAATTTAGGAATAATACATGCACATGATATTATAATGCAAGCGTACAAATATACACATAAAAATGTTTGAAAGAGAGACGAGACACAAAGAAAAGATATAAAGTATATACAAAGTTTCGCACACTCTGCTTTCACATACTTATGACGAATTCGTTACCGTCATCCATGTTTTTGCGAACGTCAGCCAACATCTAAAATTTGCACAGCCCAACAAGAATCGATTTTACGATATAGTTTTGCCTATGCATATGCTTTTTTTATACGATTATCATAACTGCCATTCGGTGAATATATTTTCTCTACTTGCAATGAATATCGATGTATCGAAATTCTACAAAATGGATTCTTTCGCTACTTAGTATCCGAGCTTAGACGCGTGCGCGCGCGCGTTTGTGTATTTATGCGTAAATGGGCGTGCGTCCGTGTAGCGAGAGTGCAGGTTTGCTTGTGCGAAGGTGCAGCCGCGTGTTTATTATTTAGGCAATTTTGTTGCAAGTTGCAAGTTGAAAATTACAAGTTACAATTCATGTGTATTGTTGTGCCGGTACATTTTATCTGTTCTTCATTGATTAGATGTAATGTTGATGCATTAATAAGAAGAATTGTACCAACTTTTTATCGTCTATCCGATGTTTATTATTACACTAAACGTAGAATATTAGCGAATTTATTTTTCGATCATCATCATCATCATCATATATATATATATATATATATATATATATATATATATATAAGTTATTACTCTATACGAACGTACATTATGGCTCATGTCGAAGTAATGGAAGGCTTCATTTGCCCGATTTGTATGACAGATTTTAAAACTCCGACATTGTTGACTAAACATTTTGAGGAGTTTCATAAAGATGATCCTGAGATATTAAAATCTCTTAAAGGTTTGTTTACACTGTTTATAAATTTTAATAATCTTGTTTATTAAAGAAATGTGTCCTTCCCATTTTCATTAAATATAATATAAAAATATATGTATAAAAATATATTTTTTAGATTCCATTTCTATATATTGAATTGGTTTCAATTTATAATAAATGTTTTGATTTGCATAAAATTACTTTTAATTATAAAATGTTAACTCTATTTGTTCATTTATCATTTCTAAATTTATAGACTTATTTGGCAAAGCTAAGAAGAAGATTTTGAAACAAGATGGAATGTTAGATTATCCTAATGAAATTTCATCAAATAATCAAAAAACTAAGCAAGAAATAGATTGGGGGCCCCAAGAAATTGGTAATTTTTCTTTAAATCTTTACTTTATATATTAAAATTAATATAACCATTATGAAATATGGGATAAAGGAGTATATTATTTTTATTTCTATGATTTGCTTAAAGGTGAAATGAGATCTCACACAAAATACTTCAAAGATATAAGAAATACAAGATTAGAAAGATATTCCATGGAAACTAATAAGCTTATTATAAGACTGGACAAACTTTTAAATAATTTACCAAATGACCTAGTCGAGCGAAAAGGTTTTAAAAATTTAATCTATATTTTAAGGAATAGGAATCTTGTAATAAGAAATTTTAAGCTTACAAACACGATATTATGCTAATTTATAGCTCACGAACGTGCTATTGTACCGTGGGTCGATGACAAAGATGTACGGTTGTGTCCTACTTGTGCAAAAAGTTTCAATTTAACCAGAAGAAAACATCATTGTAGATTATGCGGAGTTATGATGTGCCATGATTGTAGTATGTTTTTATCTTTAGTCGAGGCACGTAAGTATTTAAAAATCATGAAAAAAAGTAGATGATTCTTTAATTATTTCTTAGATAAGCATGTAGAGAAAAATCTTATAAAATTAAAATACACCGCTTTCATTTCCAAAAGCCTATTAAATATTTATCCCTAAAGTAAGTAACGAAAGTATTTATTTTATATTTGTTATTTATGAATTTATGAAATAAAATAGAACATTTTAAACGCAATGCACTACCATTAATTCAAAGTATTGTTACCATTACATTTAATTTACTTACTTATATTATTTGCAATTAATCTAAATAATATACAAATTTATACTCTACATATTATTCTAATATATAGATCTTTAAATTAATAGATTAAAATTATGAAAATTTAAAAATAAAAATAAATATTCACTTGCTTAACCCTGCATAATCAGCTCAACAATAATTATTTCAATTATTAACTGGTTTAAGAAATATATTTTGATTATAAATTTTAGAATTATCAAAAATAATAAATAAAATAAAATGATATAGAAAATATTTTGTTAATAGTTAAAAGTATTTGAAGATAAAATAAAATTTCAAAAATAAAATTTAATAAATAAAATGCGTATATTTGTAAATATTGTAAATATTATCTTTCATCCTTTCCAATTACAAATAATGAGTAGTATATATATATATATATATATATATTAAATATTTAATATTGCAAACACATTTCAGGTATTTATTAATATATTAAATATCTTCTTTTTTGGTTTTTATTAAAACGTTTTATATCAAAGGTTTGATAATTAATTTAATTAAGATCTATCGATTACTTATGCTTATTATTATTTTAGGTAAGATGACAAGTCCAGCATCGGTGCAAGATGATTTAGCTCTTTCCCCAATTACTGAATCTACGCGTTTTACCGATCGGCTAGTACAAGCAGGAATTGGTCTTTCTAAACTTGCAAGATCACCTTCCAGCAGTAGTTTAAACAGCGTTCTATTACTAATTAGTGATTCTTCTAATAACGAACAGCACTTTAGAGTTTGTCAATATTGTAAAAATCTCCTCGACGCTAGAGAAAGATTAAAAGCCAGACATTTTGAGAAGCCAGTAGTTTACCAGTTCTATGACAAAATGCATACTCAGATTCAAGAAGCTAATCATTTCATAGAAATATATTATAAAATGTGGAATTCCTTGAACGAAGGAGAGTCGACATATAATTTACGAGATGCACAAATGGTAAGGGGAAAGATTGCTAAAATTGGAGATAACATAGACATAATAAGTAAGAGAATAGCTACGCTTGTTAATATCGACGATGATAGTGCTGTTTCATTGAAACAAGAATATAGATTGAATCAAATGGTACGAACGACCGCGATGATTTATTTAAAAAATGAATTATTAAGAACGCCACCTGTACCAACTACGGAAGAATACGAGGCTATAAAGAAAGAACGACAAGAAAGAATTAAAGCAAGAATTGCATACGAAAGGCAATTAGAAGAAGAGCAAATGGAAAAACAAAAAGAATCACAAAGAGAATATCAAAAAGTTTATGATCATAGTCCAAAAAGTCCTACGTCCACTTCGAATCAGGTACGATGTGGTTTTCGTTTGTTTTCTTCGTTTTTCAATTATTATGTTTGGTAATGATAATAGTAGCACTTTTAAAAAGATAGACCGATGAAAAGAACGCGTGGAACTATTCGAGTGGGAATCGATTCCGTGAATTTATTCTTACAACGAGTATACTCTCGGCTGAGTCCGTATATTTTTTTATTAAGATTATTTGTATAGCAAAATTGGTCGTACGAATATATCGTCTTCGACATTCTTTAATTGTCGTTTGTTGATTAATTGATTTTTAATTAGATCAATTATTATTGACAATGGAATCCGCTTTTATAGTAATAATAGTTTAATAGTTTGAACAAGCAACTCTGATACCTTCATATAGAAAATGTTATATTAAATAGGAATAATGATTTTTTTTTTTTTTTTTTTTTTTTTTTTTTTTAATGAATATGTGTAAAAAGAACGAGATTAATTTGAAAATGGAATAAAAGACATTTCATTATTATCAAAATTTCATTCAAGTTGTTCCTACATCATAATTGCAAAGCAAAATCGGCTACCCGTAATATATCGTGCATTATCAAAAAACTGAAATAAATTTATGTTTATTAAAAATTCTTCGTAATCTCATTATTTTATCGATTGTGTTAAAAATTGAAGAGAAGGGAATTTTTGTATGTCTTATAAAAATTAAAATTATCGAAAAATATATTTAAGGTGGTGTTGGACCAATCTCAAGGTTGGGGTACGTCAGGTCGTCCTGGAGGAAATATAATGATATCGTCCACATCAATGGATCCATTTATAGAACAAATGAGTAATCTTCGATTTTACATAAAACAAGCAAGAGAAGAGTGTAAATTCGATGAAGTTGCTGCTTTGGAAAAAAATTTAAAAGAACTTCAAAGTGCCTACTTTGCAATGAAACAAAGTGATAATAGTTAATTAATATTTTGCATCAAAAGTAAAGAAATTAATTTTACTGTGATATACATGACTAAGACCTATCAAAAATTTTAATATTTAAAAAACAAAAAGTTTAATGCAGAAATATATATTCGTTTAAATTTATATTAAAAAGTATTATTTAAAAAAAAATTATATGTACATTTTTTTAATGTGATTATCTTAAGTTTTAAATATTTACATATGTTAAGTATTTATTAATATATTATACATAAATATAGGATTTAATTATCACGTGGCACTTTTGTCTTTATTTCCATTATATTCCAGAACCATTATAGGTATAACATTTTGTGAAACATTTGGTAAATTTACTTGATCACTCGATATCGATGATTGTATAATATCTGAAGAATCCATAGACGTTGAATGTTCTGAAGTTTCAGTTTCAGACAAAATGATTTTACCGGAATGAAATGCATTTTCTCTGACACACAAAGGAATATCTTCTGAACGAGCTTCTTGTAATACATAGCTTCTTAACTGAAAATACATTTTAAAAATTTTTACAATTCATCTTACATATCATATTCCAATTTAGGAAAATATTAAAAGTAATTAATAAAAAATAAGCGGAAAATTCGTGTATGAATTTTGTAAATATATTAATATTTAATTTCACGGGGCATATAAATGAACGTAATGCTATAATTTTATTAGATTTAAAATAATTTAGCATGTTGCTATTTTAAAAATCTACCCTCGAATGTTATTTATTTACATCCATATTGTAGAATTTATTTAATAAATTAAACATTGTACATACTATTATAACAAGGCTATAAATTTGATTCAATTGTATTTGTATTATACTATTATAATTTTGTATAATTAAGGAACCTATTCAATTATAAAATTATAGAGAACCATCATAATTATTAAGTAAATATAATTTTATAGTCATAATTTAATGTATATATATATTGAAAATGTATACCTCGGGATCATCGGTTAATTTAATATTGCTGAATTTCATTAGATCTGACATTTGGTTTGGGAGTTCTTTAATTGTTTCTTTGTCAGATACACTGAACTTCATTAAATCGGATTTATCACCGCTGAATTTAACTAAATCATACTGATCCATATTTTTCTCAATTTTTTCTCGACGATCATCAACGATGTTAATTGATTTTTCTGTAAAATTAAGTGACCACGATGTCTTTATGTCTTCTGTAAGTTGGCATTCAGTTTTTAAATTTTCAGCTTGATTCTTCTTCAATAATTCTTCTAATGCTTTATCAGATAAATCTATTTCGGCTGCTGGTCCACTTTTAGGACGTTTAGGAGGATCACCTAAAATGTTTTTAGATAATTATAATAATATTTTTCTAATAAAATAAATCGAATACTTAAATCTAAATACTTTCAGCCAACTATTATAGAATTGAAAGCTGAATTTTCTAAAATGTAGATTATTCTTTAGTAAAACTTCTCAGGAGTTTTAAATATCCGTCAAATTTTTATAATAGGTATTTTGAAAATGACTTTTTACTATCTATTGTTCTTTTTTTTTGTGTTTTTCAAATTTTTTTCAAATTTTGTTATTTCAATGAAAACTACTTTTTAAAATATTCACTGCTAAATAGTCTGCAGCCCTGAAGAGTTTAGCCTTAATTAAAAGTTCCAGCATAGAGCGACAAGTTGGTCTATTTTTATTTAACGTGCTCCATTCTGACAAAAATATATCGGCACCGCTTCTCTGTTGTTGACGAATTGCTTGTTCGATCATTCTGCAACAATAATTGAATGGTACTTAATTGTTTTTATTGCATAATAAGAGGAGAAATTTTGCAAACCTATTGATAATTTAATCGTTAATTATCTTATTAGAATGAAGATATTTTCTTAGCTCAATTTACAACTATAGGCTTTATTCTTTATTCCACAAAAGTGTATTAAAATTTTAAATATGTCGATTTGTGGTTAGATAACTATTATAATTAATAATGAAAAATGTTTTTACATAAAATGTTCATTATTGAATACATAATGATTTTCAGCTGTGTCCTTTGGAACAATAGCCATCAATTTCTTCCATGAGTCTGTTTGATTTAAAATTTGTGACAATGTACATAACTCAACAGGTTGCAATTTTCGAATTTCAGTATCTAAAGTTGTCATCTTCAAAAATTTTATAGAAATACTATCTGACGTACTATTTACGAAACTAAAAAAGTAACATTGATATGTTAACGAACTTTGATAATCACAGAATTATTAACAACTTTAATGTTCTTAATAATCGACACTCCCGAGCTAATATCGCGTATTTACCTCGAATTGTTTGCGTCACTCGCGCATACAAAATATACTTTTTACTGTTTCCATTATCTATCCTTGTCATTGGAGCTCCTTACTTTCTCCATCGCTGGGCTCGCACGGAATATGATAAATGCGAAAGTTCAGGGAAAAATACAAACTGTTTGGATAGAAAATACATTTAATTTCCATAAGGACATTTGGCTGTTCAACAGAAGATCCGCGCTACGATAATGCAAGTCATACTCGGTAAAATTGAAAAACAAATCTCTCTCTCTCTCTCTCTCTCTCTCTCTTAATCTTTCAGCATAATCTGAAGAGGTTATGAAGTCTTCGTTTGCCAATAAAATCTTAAGCACCGATTGACCAATGAACTTTGTTCAATTAGACAATTCAGTATGTATTTGAAGCTCATTGAATCTCGCCAAGGCGTTCGACAAAAACGTTGATTTTCAAGTTGAATTAAAAGTGTCTCTTTTACCGTTAGAGTTTTTTTTTTTTTTTTTAATTTTTTATTTTTTTCTTTTTTTTTTTATCGTAAAACATTATGGAGTGATGCGCTAGCTGCCTTCGATTATCTATTCTAATAAAGCCAATAACGCATTGTATTAAAGGTACACTAAAATTATTATTATTACTAATATAAGTGTTTTTATTTCAATAATACCATAAAGCATTTGCAATTTGAAATCAATTTTTAAAATAATCTTTGCCATCCACACAAGCACAAAGTTTTATTTAATCGATTCATTTAGAGTTTAGCAAATAATAATGCACAAACTATTTAAAATAATTTACTATTAAACAAATTATTATATTGAATAATACTATATTACTATTATTTATAATTAAATTAATCATAAATGTTGAATATCAGTTTCGTAACGACTAATACGAGATTTATATAACTTTATTTGAGTATTTAAAAGTAAGGTTTTACCTTCTTATTTTTATCCATATCTTATTTTGATTGTTCATTACTTTCATTTTATTTTAATTTTTTCATTTAGTATTTGCATATGCAGTATATCGATTAACCAATTATCTTTGTTCTACATTAGAAGATTTTACTTAATGAAGTTTTTACATGAGTTCGGCAGTGCTTTATGTCGAGTGAGCTCATAGTTAAAAAGAAATTTTATCTTATTTTATTGAATATTACATTAAATATTCAAGGCGAATCTTTAAATAATAGAATGAGAAGTTCAAAATTACCGGGAAAAGATAGTTTTACATTTTTTTTTTCTTCAAATTTTCACATAGACTCCATATTAAGATATTATTAAATTAAGAATATAAAAGTTTAGAGAAAATGATTTGACTTTAATATATTATTGAATGTTGAAACGCATAATTATGTTTTCATAGTAATGGGTGGGCAAGATATCTCTCCGTTTCATTCGTTTGAATAAAAATGGAGAAAGAAAAAAAAATCAGCAACACTAATCTTATAAGGCACATATTATAGTTGGGTAAATCGTATGTCGATAATTATTTTTCGCTGCGATAAACAATAAAATAAGAACGTAATATAATATTTGAAAAAATTATTAAAAATGTTTAATCAATGCTCTATGTAATTTGAAAAATAACGCTAAACTTTTTGTGCGAACAATATAAGGAATTGTTAAAATAACTAGAGCGACAAATATATTTTGACACAGCGCCATATACTTTATTGCAAAGTTCTTACAATTACAATTGGCAAGTATGCACTGTCCTGTACTTTTCAAACGCTGCCAAATACAATTTCGTATACAATAGCGGTCAGATTGCTTTTACAATTGAGGCAACTTATGCATAAGTTAGATTATTAGTGTAAAGGAATGGTTAACAAAATACACAGATTGCATTATAATTGAATTTGGTGTAAACTTCGAGATAGCCAGCTTATAGTAAATAATGTGAGAATCTTATTTGCAATCAGAGATTCGATATACCGTGCAATGATCATTTTAATTATTTCATATCCAAATATCGATTTTACTTAAAATTTTTCGAGTATCTTTCGTACAATTTTATTGAGAATAATTGCCACTAGCTTAAAGGATAATGTCGTTATAAAATAATTTTTCGTTAAGCAATAATAAAAAAATCCATGTAGTTTAATCTGGAAAAAAATAATAATAAAATTTGTAGAAAAAATACAATCACTGTAAGGTGATGATAGCAATAGTTGATGTTCTACCAAACAGTCAACTTCATTTTATCCAATAATATAGTTTTACCATTTATATAATATGTATATGATAATGTTTGAAAATATAAATATACATATTTTCACTTTTTTCAAACAATTACGATAACTATTGTGAAGTAATAGCAGATGATTAATTAAGAACGACTAGAAGAGTGATTAGTAAGGCCATCGCATAAACAATGAAATAATAATAATAAAATTAATTAAAATTACACATTTCCGCATGAATATACTTTTGCATACTATTTGAAATTTATTCAGATACTATGGTCGTCAATTAATTGAATTGTATTCTTGAAGAACTTTTATCATTACATTAATAGGCATCACTGGGATCAATCGTCTTTTCACATAGAAAGTTTTACAGCCTTTGCCAAAGATGATTATTTATGAATACTGATTTCATTATTACGATGAACAGGCTGAAAATATAAAATTTCAATTTAATAAAATATTTTTGAAACGTGTATTGGTATTGTAAAAAAAAAAAAGAGAGAGAGAGAGAGAGAGAGAGAGAGAGAGAGAGAGAGGAAAATATATAAATTATATGCTTAAGTTGGGATGAGAAGGAGGAAGCGAAAAACATTATTCAAATATAGTGAATGTAAAAGTGGGAAGGCAAAAACGGAGGTGCAAAATAAAATGAAAATTGAACGGCTGACAGCACCGAACAACACAATAAATAAATAAAGAGATTTGAGCAGCGGCGACAAAAGTGAATAATTCAGTAGCGCAGCAGAAAAATTCAGAGATTATTGATAATTCGGCTGACCTTGCAAAGTGATCGAATTAATTCAAATATCGAAAGCCTAACCCGAGGAAGGATTATTCGTAACTTCTGTCGTGGTACTCGTTGAATCCGTTTGAGGTTTCTCCTGCAGCTCAAGCCACGGCATTCGCTTCTGCAGCTCCAATCTGCAATGTAAAGCCAGTCGTCACTCTCTCTCTCTCTCTCTCTCTCTCTCTCTTTCTCTCTCTCTCTCTCTCTCTCTCTCTCTCTCTCTCTCTATTTAAATATCCATAGAAGAGTGACTTGTGACTTATAAGAATATTAGAAGAAAACTCTTGATGATTCTTCGTATCGTTCGAACTTACCTACCGTCCACTATTACGATAATGCAATTGTCACGCAATTATTCTTCTTCTTCTTCTTCTTGTTTTTTTTTTTTTATCTTTTTAACATTATTAGCGATCGATGTTTAATTTTTCATAAATTCTCACCGTTTATTAGTAGCAAAGTAATACTATTTAATGTCATTAATGAAAGAATATATTAGTAGTACATCGATTTATAGAAAAGTTAACGATTAAAGCGACTATTTTGTCAAATCTCTTCGCCCTAATTTATACTCCGTGCTAGTTTAAATGGAAAATTTGTCTAGTTATGAGCACCGAGGAGCAACGATAGAGATAACCTTGTGGTCTTGAACGTGACGCCGCGTGATCGCCCTTGTTAATTCAACTTTCCTATTATTTACGCTGGCGCGAGCTGGAAAACCTTGTCAATTGCCGCAAAGTACATGTAAAAGAAATTATTCTACGAATTGTATCGTGTGACTTATCAGATATTCGCACAATGCGTAAGGACTACTTGATAATTGCGTTGCCGATTAGAGCGTACGGGCGATACTTTGTAAACGCAGAAGCGCGTAAAGCCACGACAATGGGCGAATCCATAATTTATAAATGCCAGTTAGTCACCTGTATCTTGGATGGCTGATGGCGTAAACGTATGGATCTAAGCAGGCGACGGTCTTGCAAGCGCAGGCAGGGATCATGGTGACTCCGGGTGTGAGCAGGGCCTTGTTGCCGAAAGCTCCGATCAGTGACATGACACCGTAAGGGGTCCAAGCGGCGACGAACAGAAAACAGATGGTGATGGCTGCCTGGAGCATGAAGAAAGAAGTGTCGAAAGAGCGCCTTATTCGTGAATATAGTATGCTGGATTGTTTCGTGGGGCGAATTGTAAGGGGAAAGTGTAGTGGAGTTTTTTAATGCACCGATCGGAGTGACTTATCGAATGAAGGACGCGACTGACCTTGGCGATGCGGACCTCGGCGGATTGGGTCTGCTGGTTCTGGTTGCTTCTTAAACTCTCGACGTTCATCTTTTTTGCCTGCTCGCGCAGCGCCTTTTCGTGGTTCATAACGTGGCCGACGATCTTGCTGTAGAAGTAGATGATCATGGTCATGGGAATGGCGTAGGAGAAGGTGAAGATCGTCCCAACAAAGTAGCGCGTCTCGCTGGAGTCGGTGAGGTAGTCGAACGAGCAGCTCGTGAGGAAGCCCTCGGGCACGAAGCGACCCCAGACGTTCATTAGCGGCATGAGGCCCCAAGGGAGTACGTACGTCCAGATGAGAACGATGAATAGCATCACCTGGCCTCGGGACAGTTTGCCATCGAGAGGATGGGCGATCGTGCTAAGGAATTCGTTCTGCGTCACTCATGGTTGACACTGGCACGTCTGATTTTTGTTTTTGATTTGTTTTTGTTTTTGTTTTTTTTTTGTTTTGTTTGTTTTTGTTTTGTTTGTTTTTGTTTTTAAAGCGCCACGAATGCGATTCTTTTCGAGCATTGTTCGAGGATAGTAGCTGGCGCACGAGTTGAGTGACTTTTGTCACAATTGCCAATACTTGCTGACATTTCTGAAATCTGCCACGTAAAAAGCTCGAAAGCTATTAGCCAGCGACGCTCAAACATGGCATTATGTGTAATTAATGTTAGAACGAGTCGACATTGACTTCGCATTAATTGTTATTTACCGAATGGGACTGAGAATTGGGCTTTCGATTATGTAAGCCTAAAAAGCGATCTTTAATTATTGACCTTCACGAACGTCGGCCAATCCGTCATAGTAAGAAGTTTTCTTTTAATTAGAAAAATATTGCCATTCATCGACGAAATAATAATTTTGAATTTAGACATTTATTATTTGAAGACTTTTAACAATTATAACGCCTCGACTCCAATGACATTGCTAATTACTTTGAATCGCATAGAGGCTTATAGAATCTTTCTAAGACAAAAATTACCGAGTACTAGAAACATTTATCGATTATAGTGTTGATTATTATTAATATTGTCATGGTTGTCGTTATTCTTTCATAGTAGGCTTATTACATGAAAGCTTGCGCGTTTAATGATGCTTATTCCTTGCGACATTCACATTGCTATATATATATATATATATATATATAGAGAGAGAGAGAGAGAGAGAGAGAGAGAGAGAGAGATTATACATATATTTTAGAAATATTGTCGAATTAATAGAAATTAATAGAAATATAAACGATTTATTTTATTATCTACGACCATTTGATTTCTTTTTGACTTACCTTACGACATTTGGAATCAAATGGATTATTGTAATCTCTTAGATCTCTAGGGATTTATTTATTCATTAGGATTGCATTTTAAGCACTTTAATTGAATTGTATTTTTCCAAAATGCTAACAATATCATTAGTAGCTTACAGAGTTTTTTTAGGTAGCAACTAATTTTGCTTTAAGAAAGATTTTTTTTTTGCACCTACAAACTAAAACGTAATGATTGTTAAAAGCAAACAATAATAAATATAAATGTATACAGATATTATATGATTACTCTTTATGAATAATATTCGATGAAAGCAAAATTACTTATTCAAAGAATATAATGAACAAAACATTTATAGTAATTTACACGTAAAACTTCAAAATTTATGTCCTACCATTTTCATTGAATTTTCACGAACAATTACAGAATAAAGGCAAATTATTTTTTCAGCGGATTGTTATATCAAAAATAATATATAAATTATTAAATTTTAATTAATCTTACTTCAAAACTTATAAAATAAATTCCGTTTTTGCTCTATTTCTTTTCGTTTTAAACTTTACTTCATCAACTTTATTATTAGACAATTCTTGAAAAATAGTTCTACATTTTTTGTCATAACAATTTAAACTACATACATTATATTACGAGTGTTCATCCATACATTAGACGCAAAAAAGTATTTAATAAGTTTATTCTTGAATGGTAATTGGTAGATTGTCGTAAAGGATAATAATTAGATCGCATTCTCGCAATGTGCGTAAGAAAATTTTTCCGATTACGCATTCTTCATAAACTCTTATATTTAACAATAAAATCCATCTCCTTCTCTAATTTTTACTATTTAAATAATTGAATATTATTGATTATTATGAACGTATCATCTAATCGTCATTTAATAATCCATCATCATATTTATAAATTCAAATGGCTCAATTAAAATAAAACGTACAGTCTAGTATGAAATAAAAAAATATGTACTGGAATGTCTTGTATTTGTTCGTACACGATATTTGCGATTAAAATTATGTATAAAAACATGATAATTTACCGGGCTTCCTCAACTATACGAATGCATTATGCAGCTTATCGATTCCACTTATTTCATTGAATTAATTAGATTAGGAATATTTTGTCTATTAAAGCTCTTGCATGGTTATCAGATTTCAGGAAAGAGCTGAATATCGAACGACTTTTGATATTACCAATGGAACATCGGAGCGCAGATTATACATTTCAAAATTCAACTATCCCGGTGGTAATTTTTAACTAATGCCATCGAACGATACATTTCAATCAATACTTTTCAATCAAGACGGTATCGATCAAGCATAACTTTATAATCGGATGACATAATCTAAGCGTATCCTTACTCACCTGTAGCGATCGTAGGAAATTGCGGCATTGGTCATGGCAGCTCCGATACCGCTTAGCGAGCCGATAAACGCGAATATTTGGCATCCCAGGTGGCCCAAGGCAAAGCCCGTATTGAACGAGTTGTAGATGAAGATCGGTGTCTTTATCATCATCATGAAATCGCAAATCGCCAGGTTCACAACGAACATGTTGGACGGTGTTCTTAATGATTTCGCCCTACGTGAAGCGACAAATGTCAAAAATTCAGCGTACCTTTGTGTGCAGTAAATGCATTTGCAAGCATAAATTTCGTTATTATCTCATCTCGCAGCGTTGTAATAACGATTAAATCACGTTTTTAAATACAATTTAACGTTATTTTTGACAGCTTGTGCACTATTTAAGTAGAGTATGACGCACCGATTGCGATAGGGGGAGGGAGGGAGGGGGGGGGGGGACGTTAGTATTTGCTGTTCTTAAGAATATGAATGTTCAATTTACCGAATATATAATTAGGCAAGCAATTATTAGTTCAATTCATTGTCTACTATCGTGAGTACGAATGACACTTTGAAGATTATAAATGATTGTATTTGTTGTTTTGCAGTTCTATGATCGAGACGCCATTTCGAAGTGACGATTCTTCATTTTTAACTCTAAAGAACGTTATTTTTGTACGAGGAAGTAGATGTTCATTTAAGGGTACTTAAGGGACTTTTGTAAGTTCGTATTAGTGTACTTTTATATGCGCGGAAGATAATTATATAAATAAGATAAACGTATAATTGCCAACGCATACCGAACGATCATCAGGGTATTGGGAAAAATTTTTTTAACAAGTTTTATAATAGTCGAAGCAATACTATTTGCAATATAGTGGTAACCATCGATCGGTTATGAATATTCTTACAAGCATATAAATATATATGTGTGTGTGTGCGCGCGCGTGTGTATATATATATATATATATATATATATATATATAAATATACATATACGGATATACGCACAAACGCTTTTCATATCGATTCGACGAAATCAATTGTCCGATAAAATACGTACTGACAAAATAATGGACTTGTAGCTTATTGTTTACACACCGATGACTGCTAATTACCGACATGGTTCAAAATGTTTATCAAGCACATGGAAGAATGGAGAACACCGAGACGAGAGACGACGTATAAGTAATATTATCAACGATTCTTTCGAGGTAAGTGCTTGAAAATTTTCGACTCGCGTGTCCATGGAAAATCGGCGGACGCGCACTTACGAGCATCACCCGTGTACCCCAAGATCCACACACACTTACGAACAAAATATCCAGATGACGATACCATTGCCGAGGAGGGCGATGAACGTGAAGAGGATATAGAGGAGGGCGAGTAGATAATGTAACGAGGGATTGGGCTCCGAGTAAACGAGCCAATGTTCCGGTATGTAAACGAGCTCCTCGGGTGCCACGTTCCAGCCTAGGAGCCTGGGGGCGCCTGCGGGTTGGATCCGCGCCTCCCAATTGGCAGTGCCGTTCCAGTTGAGCTCCGACATGGTCGCACCCTCGGCATCGAGCTCGTTCGACCCTCCACGCGCCCTTTTATACCCTCGCTTAGATGTTCATTGGGAGGGATGAGGACTCACGCCCCGAAGCCCTTAATTCGTCCATGTAACTATGGGGCTTCCGGGCGGATTAGCCCGGCTGCGGGGGATAATCTTCCGAGCGCTTGGTCAGCGGAAAATCTTCTCAAAGTCAAATCCATTGTCAGGGTTCTCAAATGCGCGTGACATTCCTCGCGGAGGTAAGGAGGAATGCGAATCCTTTCTGCCGATTCGTGAATTCTCCGAAAAGATATCCTTTTTCATGCGCAAGCCGCGTCGTTGATTCATTGGCTTGTCTCCGTTAAGCGCAAGGAGGTACCGAGGTCACTAAGTAAGGTCTTGTCGATGATAACAAAAAAATTATTTACGAGCAATTTGGATGGAGTATGGAATATTAGTGAGCAACGAATATTAAAAGTAGGAATATCAATATATAATTTGCCTATTGAAAAGCTCACTTTTTAAAGAGTCTTTCTTGACAATGAAAACCGTATATAATAAAATCACAAATCAATGAAATTTTATATTTTTGTAAAATTAATTTATTTTCCTTTTCTATTTTGTTACGATAAAAAATACATTGATAAAAATATAAAATACATTCTGAAATTTCGAGTACTTTTTGTAAAAATGTTTCCACAATTCCTACGCTTCAAGATTGTAGAATTCAGTCGTTTTATGCATATACACCATAGATGTACCATAGATAGCTTCGTTTGACATATGAATTTTTGTCGAAGCGATTGTAAAGAAATCACGAAGACATGAGACTCGATGAGGATTTTAATTCAAAATGACTTGTCGATGTCTTCGATATTTCTAAATATATATTCATCTTTTATTTCGTTCCATCCAATTGCCATTGGTTCGTGGTTACTTTACAATTATTAAACATAATAAGTATATTAAAAATTAATGTTAACAACAATTTCATACTCATATGAATATTTATTAATAACAAATCTGTTTAAAATTTTAGTTTAGATTTTTTTTTTTCTAATTTTAAGTTTTATAAAAATTACGAGATTTTGTATAGAATTGTATTGACAATTTTGAAAAATCACAAATTGCAAAATTTCAATTTGATAAGAAAAAAAAATAAAGAGTTATAAATAATAAATAAATAGACCAATTGAAGCTTCGATGATCTAAATACTTTTTAAAACGTGTATTTATTGATTTATTGATAAAGGATTCTTTTATTGTGTATAATACCATATGTCATAACTTAATAGAATCACTAAATATTCTCGTAACTCATGCAACGCGTATTTTAAAACTTAAAAGCAAATTTGTTTTTAATATAATTTTTCATCTCTGATATTTTTATCGTAAATTATATTGGCGAAATTTTATTAATTATTGTAAATCTTGAATTACAAATATTCTAGGAATCTAGACGAATCAACTATACCACTACAAGATTTTGCTTATTGATATAAAGTTTTTTTTCAATATTATTATATGAGCACTAAAAAAAAAAAAAAAAAAAAAAAAAAACATTCGGTAGCAAAGGAATAAATCTTAGTAATTTAATTTAGCTATTAATTTAGTTATTTACATATATTTATCGTATATGTAATATAGCACGGATGTCCCATTTAATGCTACGATACACAATGCAAGGTCCATTAAAATAAAAAAAAAAAAAGAGCTTATGAAATTGGGTGACTTGGTTGATAAATGAGCATTTGTCAATTTGCGGTGAGTTGAATTTGCGATTAAGTATAAACATCGATCATTTTGCCAGTCTACTTAATTTTACGTAATGATATAATATCTATTTATATTGAAACACTACGATAACATGAAAGTTGGCTAATTAAAATATAGTAAATTGCACTATCGCAAATATATATATATTATTATTATTATTATTATTATTATTATTGTTTATATAAACAAATTAAACATGATTGTTTACAATAGGATTTTAAATAAGAACTGAATACAATCACTACCATTAATTATTACTAAAATTTACAACTACTAACTATTTCTTTGTGTAGCGTTACTTTTAGTATCACTATCATAATGTTAATATCAAAACATTTGTGTTTTAACGATTTTTTCTGCTATTAGCAATCCTATAACTAATAATCAAATAGTTTGTCAATGATAAAATCAATGATTATTGGTATACGGAATTCTCGCGATTAATTTTAACAAAATTTCTTCCTCGTGTTTATCGTTATTAATTTTCGGACACAACATAAATCTTCCTTTCGAAGAACTTACGATATCCCTTACAAAATTTCCCCCTTCCATTATTTTAGTTTTTTTTTATTATTTTAAAATTATCTTTACCTAAGATTTTCTATAATACTATGTCACGTGATTACTGTATACATATGTCGAATCTAAATTACTTAAACCTCTCACGTTGTTTAATATCTATTGTTGTTAATTTCTTGTTCTTAACCTTCATCCAAACAAGAATTCCAACTCTCTATAACCATAAACTTCCAATCAGTGCTCTCTCTCTCTCTCTCTCTCTCTCTCTCTCTCTTCCTCTCTTTAATGTGACGCATATTATTATTAATAAAATTGCGAAATGTGCATGTTATCATTGTATGTTTAATTGTAAGACCAGACATGAATGAGAAAATAAATAAACTCGAAAGAAGAACAAGGTTTAAAACAAAATTATTTATGTTAATTTTCCGTCTTCCTTATCCGCTACTTTAATTTCTTGTGACATGCAGTGTCATGATATTTACAGTCTTATTATCTTATTACTTTGGCTGAAGACATATACGATCCTTCGGCATACTCGTTTTGCATATTTTTAGCACATTGCGTGGGTATTTTGGTCAACACATTGCAACATATGTAATATTGACAGAGTTTATAAAATCTCGTGCGCGGTCACAATATCCTTTACGCGTGAAATTTTCATTTATAACCGTAACTTTTAAATTACTTATTTATAGAGTATACTTCATGTATATTGATATTTGTGATCGATAATAATTAATTCCCTATGGATTTTAATAAAATGCTCTTTCAATTAAGCTCTAATTAATTATGTTAATGATTTTTTCGTCACTACGTGTGTGTTTGTGTGTGTGTGTGTGTGTGTGTGTGTGTGTGTGTTCGTGTGTGCATATCATTCTTCATAAAACATATAGTTATTCTCTTATGTATTATTGTTCTTACGAAGCAGTGTTCTAAATTTTACCAAATTTACATTAAATACTTAAAGTAATTGAATGATATATGCATATGCGAAAAAGTTCATTTTGACAAGAATAAAAGAATACTTTGAATTTATTTAATAACGTTGACAGATTAAGTGACAATCGATTAAGAATGTAACAAATATTATTAGTTTATAAGAGAGAGCATCGTTTGTCACCAATTCTTTATTTTTATAATTATACTTAGCTGTCAAAGCGCAAATACGACGCATTTCACTCACTTGAGTCAAATAACTCCACGTTTCCCCATAAAGGGTAATCGTTTTCTTATATAATAAACGGTGATAATATAACTTCATACTCGCTACTCTCCTAGCCACCACATTCTCCCGCACTTACAATTTCCTTAGTTTATTGACCTTCTTGAGATGTGATCGACCCTTGAGGTTTTGCGAGCAAAATGCAAATGAGCAAGAAACTACATCGAGTACCTTACCACGCGCTTACGATTAAACAGACGATCGATCTTTCATCTCTCTTTCGTACACTTTGGATTTGTACATTGTTATCCATCTCAATCCTGCTAATCACATTATAGCGAGCAAAATATTATTTTAATATTGCTATTTAACATTTTATGTAAAATCAACTAATTTATTGACTGTACTGTTTGTGTTAAAGAAAAGCAGATCGATAAATGTAATTTAATGCGACTGGTTAAGTGCCACTGGTATCGGTACATTACTTATTCACTATCGCATTTTGAAGCGAGCAAAGCTTATCTTTCGTCGACTACGGGCAATAAGAAATCGAAAAGCAATTTTTATCACGCTTCATTCGATTCTAATTCAAACTTTGAATAATCACGAATTGAATTTACATAAATAAACATAAATATACGTATTAATTAATCTATGATTTGAAACGAAGAGCTAAACTCATTATTAAATATTGAGTTTATTAACTTTATCATCTTTACGCAATATTTGCAGATTAAACGATACTTTTAGGCCATATAAATATAAAATATATTTTCAAATGATAGTTTAATCGAGGAGAAATTAATTAATTTAGAAGGGTAGAGATTGCAATGACATTACAATTCCGTACGATATTAGCAATCTTGTCTACCAAATTAAAAGTAACGACATCCTGAAAACAATAAAATGCGACAAGGAAGAAGGTAACCGATTAATGCTCGTAAGCTTTTCATTCGCAGAGCCGTTAATCTATCGAATTAAATTGTTAATAAACGCTACCATCCCGACACTACTCCCATATTTCATATTTCAAATACAAGACTTTGAACATTCACACTATCGTTATCTCCATTGCGCTTGTTCTATCCAAGCAAATAATCCAATTTGGGAAGATGCTGTTAAGAGTTCCATGGAGCTACTCTCTACCCTGGCGTTCCGTCGAGTCGTCGACGAGAGTGTGAGCCGGCAAATATTTATTGGGCTCGCTCGGGTGCTTCAGCAGAGGGTTCCGGGTCGTCGTCTCCCTGACCCCGAGGCTCGTGTAGCCCTCGTCATACAGCGAACAGTAAGAGACATTGTTTCGCAGAAGGTAGTCCCAGACCTGTGATAAATGTCCGATTTATTTTGTCGAATATTGGATTTCTCATTTTTCTCAAATAATCGTTTTTGAGGTTGATTTATTGCTGAAATGTGTATTTGTTCCATTGTATGAGTGTTCTCGAAAATGTGATTATTGGCATACGCTTAAATGATTTGCAGCTCCTTCGCTTGTAAGCCCTATATAATTATTCATTAGGATTCAAGTCGCACACCAATAGTGATTGTAACAATGAGTGGTTAAAAAGGATTTTTACTATTGAAATTGACGGTTGATATCGTACCTCCTTGCTCGGCCATCACCCTCGATTATATAATAAGTAATGTGTTATTATTTGTTTAGTAAGTAATTGTAATTTTATGTCACATTCGTAATCAGTTATTCCAAGACTTTTATATGAAGTTTAATGTTAATCGGCTTATGTAAATAAACCTTTGCTACCCCGTTTCATCGAACGAACTCTATAAACGTTTGTTTATATTATATTTATTTATACAAAAATCATATTAACTGTTTAATTATAAAAAAATGTTTTAAAACTATATTCGTACGTGTATGAAATTATGTAATTCGCTTGTCGTTTAAATTATTATTATTAATCATAAATTTTTAATCTAATATTTTTCTTTCGATTGACGTATATTTTGAATATTATCTTTTCTTTTTCTTTTTTTTTTCTTTTTTTTTTTTTTTATTTCTTAAACCTTTTTACAATTACAATCACTCAAATATAATTAAATACTAATATCAACACTAAAGATTTTTCAAATTCTAATTAACTTTTCAATATCAATTACATACATTGTATATAATTATAATTAATATAATAAAACACACACATATATATATATATATATATATATATATATATATTTAATAACGATAATATTGTAAGATATATGCCACATTAATTTTCTGATAAATTTTTAGATAAATTTTCAGTGATGTAATACGTCGTTTATCGAAACTATCAATGTGTTACTTGAAAAGTATTACTCATGTTGTATAGTGTCGATTTATCGTATAAACATAAAATGAAAATTTAATATTATTTCTATTGACTATTAATAATGTTTAATGATGCAACGTATAGCTTTAAATTTAATATTATGAAGAAAAAAATTCTATGTACAACTTATTTTTTTTCTTTTTTTTTTCTTTTCATTTTATAAACGTCCATTGTCCATTGAGTTAGAGGTTTAAAAATTCATTTTCATAGCGTATCTAATACAGTCTGTGGGATTGGGAATAATAAAATGGTGAAAAGAGTTATATGTCTAATGAGATACTAAAACTGTCAAGAATATTACATTTGATTTATGCCTTACAATATCATATATTAAATGGAGCTTTATATTAAAGCATATTAAAGCTCTTTTTATCTTTCTTTTTAATAAATTAAATACAGCTAGACGTACAATGCTGCTTTGTTGCTATGGAATCGCTAGGCTAACAATCCAATTACATAAGTGTTGAAATACGCTTGTGAAAGCAACGATTTAAAAAGATTATTGGCAATGTTCGGCTTTCAATTGTGTAATTCAGTGGGAAAAGAGAAAAGTACCTGTTTATAATTCCAATCGATGATGGGACTGACTCGCATGATCTCAGGCCAGCCTGGATCAGTCGGGGCGAACGACTCCAGGCACTGAGCCCCAGGGTCGGCCTTCCTCGTACCCAGCAAGCAAGCCGCCAGCTTAGGATACTCCTCGAGTAATGCCGCTAGAGCCTGCTTTATAGATCCGCTCTTACGTACCATCTTCAGCCTGTAATTGTTGGCCGTGTTTCTCACGAATTCGTCCACCTATGATGATTTGTTCCAATGCATTACCATAGGTTTGAAAATCCCTTGAAATTACAGGACGTTGCATCGAAATTGACGACCAATTGGTTTTGAAACGATTCGTTCAAGTGGACATTTAACGCTTTAACGCTTTTGTTTATTATTATTTTATATTATACTATATATATATATATATATATATATATATATTTGTATGTTTTTATTTATATTTGTATATTATTATTATATTGGTGGAGTGGGAGTAGCAATTTTAACGACCAATTAAGGAAATTTATGCAATTAAATGGAGCATACGAACCTCGGGGAATGCATCGCCAGTTACGTATAAACATAGAGGAGGATCGTATCCTCGTAGCCGGGCAAACGTAATAACCAAATGAAGTACGACAGTGCAGTCCTTGCCTCCATTAAAGCTTAGAAATACTTCGTTAGCTTTGTACCTAACAATAAATTAATAAGCTTTATGCTTTGACAGATTATTTTATTAAAAATTAAATGAAATGTCTAGTTGATAAGAAAACGTCACACAAATGCTCGACGATCGTTCTACCTAGAACTTGTTATTTATCCAGAATTACTATAAGCGTCAAAAGGCTTGCCATTTATAATATTTCACTCTATTAATAATATAAATGTGTACTTGAAGAGTAGAGTTTAAATACTAATGTTAAAAGAATATAAGTAAAATAGTTGTTTTCAAGTAATGTAATTCGGTGAAAGCGAAGTGTATTATTCGCGTATCAAAAGATATGATATGAAAAAAAAAAAAAAAAAAAAAATTTTCAAATAAAGTTTCGTATTAAATGTTTTATCGTAAGCAAAAAAAAAAAAAAAAAAACAAATTTCAAATTACTAATATCAGTAGTGAAAACGAGACTTTTACATTACAAGAAAAATTCTATAAATCATTAGTCTTCCATAATACTTCCACATAATCAAATAAATTTCTTATACAAATACCTATCATTAAATACAAATCAATGTTCACGCCTAGATTATGTATCTTATATGTGTAAGATATGTAGATTATATACTAAATTAATGAACTGTAATAAATATATGCATTTGCAATATTCTGAATCATATTCAACTAATGTGAGTTATTGACTTCGAGTATGTATTTGCCATTATTGCTACAGAGTAAAGATAAATTAATCAGTCCAATGTAAGTGTTTGAAAATATTTACGCTGTTAATTGCTCCAATTCATTGTACGTGTATCGTTAAATAATAATATTAATAATATACATATTATTAATATGTTATGGTTATGTATTATTATAAAATACAATTATAAAAATTACTTTACCACAAAATTATGTGTACATTGCTTGCTCAATGCAAGTTTTATCAATATTTTTAGGTTTTTATTTACAAACTGTTTCCGAGATGGTAAAACAATATTGCACAATCTATAACTTACACGCTCATAAATACATATTTTTTCATTTATCGTTCCTTTGCCCACTAGATTCTCTCATTAAAATATCATAACGATATATTTATAGAAATGAATCAATAAAAATTTATTGTTTATTTTTCTCGTCTACTAATAACATAACGATTAATTTGATTATTACAGATAATCAGAAAGTATTATATGCATAAGATTTTTCATAAATATTATGTATTATTATATATTTTATATGTAAAATTTTATATGTATTACAAAATGGCTATCTGCTTTTATTAAATTACCAAGTGTATGAAGAATCGAATCATTCAAGTAAAATAAATGATATCCTTTCAGGCAGCTGCTTTGTTCCCGCTATTTGGACATCGATATACGATTTTATTAATCGTAATAAAAACTTGATAACGATAGGATGGACCTGTACATTTTCTAAAGAAAGTGAGAATCCGGCGAATCTCTCGAATATTCATTAGATGGACTAAAATTGTCTGGACTCTTAGCTCTCAATGATATTCTAATCGTGAGCTGGTCGTCAAAAAAAAAAAAAAAAAAAAAATGTAAAGGATATTCATGCATAATTATTATTGTCAAAGTAAATTACGTTAAATAAGGTTGCGTATTGTCATTATTGTTGTCGCTTTTATCTACAAAGCATGATAATGGACAAGCGCGCTCAACTATAAAAATAAACTAGGAAAATAAGAATACGCTTCCAATGCTGTTGTTCATTGATAAGAAATCGGTACGTTTATAGTGGACCATCCAATTAATCGATTAATTCTATTGTGGATAATAGCGTCAATTCGCCTCAATTCTCAACGTTATTATTCGCGGTTAGCACAGAACCCCGTGAAAACGGCGAGTAATTTCTCCATCCGTTGAATTAGTTTGGAGTATTTTCTAAGCCAATGTTCCGTAAAAATCGATAATCCATGAATAAAGCATGGCGATGTGGCAGTGAGAGAGAACTGCCACCTTGAGAGAAAAAAAAAACGTAGCCGGCCCCCTTCCACCCGTCCGTAATACTCACTTGGCGTAGCACTGCTCGAGGACGTCGAGCGCTGCGCGCAGGTGAACGGTCGGCCCGGGTCGCGCCTCCTCCGGCAGGGCCTCGATTACGCTGGCCTTCGCCTGGGCGAGGGCCTCGGGGCACCGCGCGACAAAATCCAGTCGCGTCCTCGGCCTCGGTCCATGCCGCTGTGGATAACTGCCGATGGTGACGGTGTCCCGCCAGCGCCGGGCCTCGGTTTCGAGGGGCTCGGCGAGCGCAAACTCGTCGAGCTCGATCTCGAGGCTCTCGGTGTAGAGTTGCCCGCCTGACTCCAGGGTGGCGAGCGCCGCCTCCGCGGCCCTTCGGAAGTAACGCGGCGAGCCCGGCAGCACAAATACGTTGCGGGCCTTCACCAGGACGTAGCCGGCTGCGGATGTCGGGTCGAGTCGAGTCAAGGACTTAACTGGGCACAATGGTGGAGATGCGCCGGCTCTCGAGGCTCGCGCGCGAATGCAATCGAATTGGAGCGAGCGGGCGGCTTCGATTAGCCGCCCGGTCAGGCTCGTGACTCCGTTTATAATTATTGGCTATCGCGTAAAACTTGATGGATGGCTTGTGCCGTGCTCTTACATTTCGAATTTTTCAATATGGTTTGCGCCATGTCGAGTGCGCGTTTCGTAAGGGGCGCGCGTCAATTAACTTTGACGTCGACGTGGCGAGTTTGAATAAGACCAAACGACACGTTACGATCCCAATATGAATTTTATTTCTCAATATTAAGTAAAGAATGTAGTATGATGTAGTTTGGTAAGGATGGGCCGCCGACACTTAAACCTTATCTACTGTAAATCTGACGTCGTATTGAGAATAATTGCATTGGTGCACGTGCGCGCGTACGCGTAAAGAAACGAGTATTTATCGATCGTTTTACACATTGAAATACTTATTGTAGAGACTAAAAATATGATTTCCACTATAATCGGAAAAATGTAAATTGCTTAATTGGTTCACGGTATTTTATGACTGTTAACGCTCACGTGACATCTGTAATCGGGTATGTGAAATACTTATTACGAAACTTGTAATTCTCCGTTAAGAATTCCATTTACTTCGAAATTTCATGCTAGACTGTCATTCTCCGTATTTCTTATACATTTAAGATTAAATATCAAATGCATTTCATTAATAAATTATAAAAATTAAAAACCAATTATATAGAATAGTAGAGAAGTGTAACTACGGCAAAGTGCAAATAGCGTCCTGTTTAAAGATAAATAGATCTTAATAAATGATCTGCGCTTAGGAATTAGAATACGTTACGAATTAGAATTGTAATTATATGTGCTATTTTTATAAATTGTTGTAAAATTATATTTGTAGAAATAACAACGGTCGTGAATAAAATATTTAAAAGAATATAGAAAATTATAAATTTATTTTTTTTAACGCGCTGTCTTAGAGAGTTGTTGCGAGATCAATTATAAATTATGTCCTTTAAAGATTGGATTTTTGTTCATATCATTAGAAAACTTTGTTGATTGTTAATAATATTTTGAAATAGTATTAAATATTGATTTATGTAAATTTCACAATTTTACACGAGTCAATGACCGTGTGACACTTTAATATCGTGCGTTCCATATAGGAGAGAACTTTCTTTTAAAATATTTCCTATCACCATACTCTCAAGTGACTAGGATTTAAAGTTTACTTGATTAATCGATGACGTATCGCCCTTTTTCAATACAAATACTTATTTGTAATCTAGCAGCATCTGTACTATTAAATATTTTGATAACCGGCAATATTAAAAAATTTATTTCAAGTAGCTGGTACATATAAATACGTATATGTATAAAGAATATAAATAGAAAAATTAAAATTACGTTTAAACAGATTTTACCATCCGAATCATTCGATGCAATGTCAATGAGTTCACAGGGATTTGGGACGAGAGCAAGACGCCGGGATTCGGGCTTATTTGGAAATAGTAGCGACAGTTTATTGAGAAGAATCTTGTTTTCCTTGAGGGCCAATCCAAGACCCTTAGCAACTCCCTGGTAAGTTAAATCATCGTGCGTAGGCCCTACCCCGCCGGAAGTGAAGACTATCGTGTATTTTTTAGACGCTTCCGCGACTTCTTTTGAGATAATATCAATCTGATACCAACAGCAAATTCAAAATAATTAATTAGTTATTGCTTATTGATAAATGTATAGATTTACTAAATGCTCATGCATATCTTTATAAATTATAAATTATAAAAAAAAAATTTTTTTTTTGTTTTTTTTTTTTTCACTTAATCTATTCGATGCTATATAATTGTTTTTTATATTCAAACTTTAATTTAAGATCAGTCGAATAAGTCGTTGCTCGGCTTAAAATTCCCGAGGCCCTCGAACTAACAATTTCTCAATGCTTCTTATAGTTTAAAATATTTTCTAAAATATATATGAAATACGACATTGAATTAGTTGTATTATAAAATATTTGCCATTAAAATTCATTTCCCACATAATATTTTGACATCGTATTTTTACTTTTATAAGAAAATAACATGGCTTGTAAATAATTGTTAATAAATTTTTCATCTTTGTTTCGAACTTTTAAAATGTCCATTCAATAAGTAAACTATTTATTAAAATGCGCTATTTAATTGTAAATTCATCAGCAAACATTAAGATTAATAATTACGATTCTAATTATGTTCATAAATGTAAGGGCCGCGTTAAATGTTTTTCTTTCTAAAATAAAAAATAAAATTTTCCGCCCTACTACTAGCAATAAACTCTTTTCTAAATAATTCCACATTATTTCTCTCACTCGGGTCAAATCACCAATTGAGATTATAAAGAATATATAAATTTAAATTTATTATGCATTATGCATTAAAGATTTAATGACGTCACATTATCGGTTCGGGTATTTGGGCCATCACTTCACAAACTAACGAACCCATTAAATTAATTTTCAACAATGTTAAAAGAGGAAATATTTAAAATTCAAAAGATTTTTATAATTTTAAGAGCATTGTTAAACACACAAAAATACACACCGAACTAATTAGACTAATTAGACTAATTAAAAGTGTAGATGGAAGAAAGAGGAAGGTCCAAAAAATTTGTTTCTTCTACGGACTTTGAATTAAAAAGTCGTTTTACTTCTGAAAGGTAATACGATTCATAAAAATACTTTGATTGTCCGAATAATATTTTAATTTTATGTATTACTTTACTTTGTCGATTATACCCATTGAAATTTGATGTAAAAATTATTTCAGATTAAAGATTATTTTAGCAATATTATGCAGCAGTGACCTTTATCTCATTATCCTTTAAAATCATCATATCTAATAGATTTAATGGGCACGTAAATGTTATATGTATAAATTAAGTCTTCGATCGCTAAATCGAGAATATTACCTCATCTGGAATAATAACAACTTTTTGAATTTTGATGCCCTTAGCTTCCAGATTTTTTGCTAAATATATAGTATTGGCATCTTGAACTCGTCCACGTAGTATCTCATCACCGATAATTATTAATGATGCTATTTGTTCATCTGCCATGTTCGCAGTTGGTTTAAAGCTTCGAGCTTACTTTACACGGTACCTTGGGTTTGAAAAAAGAAAAATCTGTTGACGTCATGTAATGTATTTACATTTATTTTACAAAGTAACTTTATACATAATAATTTATATTCCAATGCAATCAATATCAAATATTTAAATTTTCAATAAGTTTTGTAGCTTGTTCTTTCGATGGTCCACTCAGAGGCTCTACTGACTTGATAGGTAATGCTTTCGAGGCAGCTGCCTTTTTTTTACTCGCTGGCTGATGCACTTCTTTGCTAAGTTCCACCAACTGCTTATTTATGAGAATAGTCTTTTCCTTATTCAACTTACTTCCCTGTCCAAGATCCAACTAGGCAAATAAAGATGCCCATAATATTAAAACAATGGTTATTCTGAGGTTCGGTACATTTGTTCCATTGGTTATGTCGGGGACACTTACTTTCTTTAGAGCAGTCTTCACCTTCTTAGCTTTTGCCTTAGCTCTTTGAGAGCGAGGGCCCGAAACCTTAAATACATTCTTTATCTTGTTCTTGTTCTTCCCCATTATTTCCTAAAAAATTATCATCATCATTATCATTCACATGTTTCAATTTTTTCATTGCTGGCTCCTCTTTCAACATATTTTTGGTCAACAAGAAAGATACCCGCATCATCTCTTTATTTGACGCTATGTTTCTCACTTGATGAATATTTAGCAAAGACTCGGAGGGAAGGTTATACCCAAGTTTTTTCTCGATATATAGTTTAGCTAAAGCATAAAAATCATCGCTCTTACTAGCTTTAATGAAGCAGTAGACGTGCACCACTGGAGGATTTAAGCAAACTTTATCTATTTCCTCGCTACTCAACCAATTCTCAAAGACGTCTAAAAATTCGACTGCGAGGGCCGGCAAATTCATTACTATATGCTCTGAGCCGTTATCATTTTTTTCTCTTCTCTCTACAATATCTTTTTTGACATCCACCTTCAAAAATTCTCGCCCATCTTTATTAAAAGCCATTAATAAATCCGTTACTTTATTTACTTGCGCATTCTTAACCAACCATTTGTAAGATTCTGGATTTAGATCATTTGCTAAAACTCTAATGCCTTTGCGAGCGGATGGAACGGCAAATGGACCTACACCGGCAAATATATCGTAAAGTACATCCCCTTTTTTCATAAAATTTACTAAAGCAAAATGCTCTGTACCTAGCCTTGGATTCCAATACACTTTAGAGAAGTCAAAATGATAAATACAACCATTTTCTTTAACAGACACCATTGTATTTTGTTCGCCAGCCAAAATTTCCATTGCAAAATTCCTATATACATTGTCAATGATATTTACCTTGTTTACTACTGTTTTGACGTTAGGAATTTTATCAAGATAAACTTGACCTATTACATTTTTGTACGGTAATTGTTCATTGCGGAGATTTAAGTGAATGATGTGTCCAACTTGACTAAACGATGTCGGCACCTCGATATCTTCAGGTAAAATAGCATTAAGAACTTCGTGAGGCTGCCAATTAATATAAGATAATTTTAATTCAACTTCTTTATACAGTTTATTCCAAAGTATTTCTTTTTTAAGAACATCTGTGACATTTTTTATTTTGCGTGGGTCTAAATAAACGATATATTGGCCGTCGATAGTTTCCAAAGACTGAACCGACTTAAAACTACGAAACTTTAAGAAAAATGGTCGTAGCTTATTAATAAATTGCCTTAAATATTGATCTGCTAAAACTACACAGGGTATGTTTTTTAATGTTATATTAAATGCTTCGTAATCCAATGAATTTTTTCCACGTATAGAAGTTGGAGGAACCAGCAAGGAAGCCATCGAGGTCTGGTGATAAAAATTAAATTGGACTTTCGAAAGATGAATATTCAACTGCACTATTCTGGATCCAATCATATGTGCCGGATGGATCAACTTGGCCTTGAACAAGAGTTCAAGCTTTGTAATATACGTAAGCGTACTTATAGAGTTATGAGAGATTTCATTATATATATATATATACACATATAAGCACACATGCATAAAAGTACTAACTTAAATTTAGAATAAAATATGTATTGAATTGGATTATATTATTTTGCTCAATGGAAGAAAATGAGAAAATAAATCATTTTCATAAAATCAAATGTAAAACAAAAATATATTAATCAGTTAAGAATAAGCGACAATTTTATATATTATGCGCTACAAGACATCGATTATAATTAAATTATTTTAAATTTGTACCTTAAAGATTAAATGTATATTTATGTTATTTTACCAATAAGTAAATATTATTCAATGTACAATTAAGTCGTGTATTCCTTTATGTATTTTATTTAGACAAATCGCAATATTTAAATTCTTCATAATTTTATATTATTAACATTTTGAAATTAAACCTATTAAACCTATTTGAAAGAATATTAATTGTAAATTTATTTATTTAAACATGGCAATTAACTTGAAGTAATATAATATATGGTCATAATGATTAATATATAAAATTCGGTATATTCTCTCATAACCTACAGCACACGTACCTCATGGTAATGTATCCATAAAAATATTCAATTTAACAAAATAGTGAGTAAATAATATTTTTACTAATATCGTTAAAAGTAAACCATAAATTACCTTTTCAAGATGCTTTAGCAATATGATATTATGATCTTCGCTTTAATTTTATTATTGTTCGTTAGATTAACGTTAAATACTTGATAAGGACCAAATGTCTAGTCAAGCCTTATTTATTACAAATAGTGTGAACTTTGCTGTTTTTCAGATTTACGAGTAATATGTTGCAACTGTGCTTGGACGACAAACTTTAAAATTATACAAACATTAAGCACGTCGGCGTGTCCCCCTTTATTATATGTCTAATACAAAAGTGCTTTTATATAACTATTGGCGTTACGTAATTTATATAAATAAATAAATAAATAAATAAATAAATAAATACATCAATAAATAAATAAATGCATCAATAAAATACAATGGTGAATGGCAATGTAATGCAACTTTCGTTGACAAATGTCTGAACTGAAATATAACTATTTAGTTATGTGTTTATAAAACAATTACGCCGGATCAAACTTAATTCGATCAATAGCTCGATCGTAAAATAATAATAATCCAAAGTTTATACAATTGATAAAATTAGTTTACATAATATGATTAATATACTGCCTATGCATACATGTAATACGGCAATAATGATAATATAATCAATAAAATGTCTAATTTATAATTCTTAATTTATGAGATTAAATAATTGTAAAATTTCTGTTTCGTTAGTTCTTATAATTAATTTATTCCACTTAATAAGGGATGATCTATTCAACTATTTTCATACAATTAATGAAATCAAAATAATCTATAAGCATAATTTTATTATACTAAATGATGCCTCTGCATTAAAAATATATGATGCATCCGATACTTCTGCATTCAAATTATCCTTTTCCCCGCAATCGACAACATTATAAAATAACAAATGTTTTAAACTCAATCAAACATATTCCAAATCGTTTTTTTATTTTCTTTTCTTTTTTTGTAATAGAGAATCAGTGTTGTATTGTTTTTCCATCGATAATTAGAGATAAAGAATAATGTTTGGTCGTATAACTAACCAGTGTCGTTCAAACGTCTAACGGAGATAATTAAACGAAGAATTACAAATTCATTGTTTGTTGCACAAATAATTGAATATGATATTTTCATTCTCCGTCTTACTTTTTCTATCTCGCGTACATTCGAAAGCAATTAATGCTCAACAAATAAATTATATTATTAATATTCGTAGTATCCTACGAATAATATTAAGCGAGTAGGTTTATTGGAACGTATCGAAGAGAATATGAGCGTTGTAAATTATAATAATTATGGCATTATCTTTAGATTGTTTAAGATCGATAAACGACAAATTGCAGAAATCAATAAAGATGATACGTCGATGGAAAAAAAAAAGTATTAGATATTGATGAGGCATCCGAGATAAATTAAATTATAATTCAGAATTTAAAAAGTATTAAAGGCTTAAAGAGTTCTCGATTTATTAATCGACGGATTATAATGTAGAAATGATTTTACCCCAAAATATCTTCTACACTTAAATAAAATTAAACGACCGAACGTGAATTTTCTATCGTTTATTTGTAAAATAACACCTATATATACCAATTATCAATTTAGCATCGTTTTCAATTATTGCGGCTGCATCGGATGCAATTCTAAGCTCAAAGAACTTGAGCGAACAGATAACGTAACCATAAAGGATAAAATAAACATCGTTCGACTTCAACTTTCGATACTTTGCGCTCGACGACCACTTCAAGTGTAATTATCATCTGATTATAATTGCATTATATATGTCAAGATTTGTGTAACGCGCGTCATCTCACAATTATTGGATTTTTATCCCTGCGTAAAAGAGAATTATAAAATTCTAAAAGTTATAAAAGCGCAACGAGACGAAATGCTGAGGGACGAGTTTTCCAACGCTTAATTAAACGTATAACTATTTTCTTCGTAATTTTCATTGATATTAAGCCTGTGATTAATTATACGCATAATGTCGGGTGAGCCGAATGTCAAAGGTTATGCGCCTCTACCCCAGAGTATTAGTAATACCGACACTGAGGATGACGACGATGAGCATCATCACCACGTAGATTCTGCCTCCAAGGACGACGATCAATCGAGAATAAGTGTCAGTAATTTTATTTTTTCTTATGAACATTTTTTATATTGCTAATTCGTGAATGCATTTCAAATTTCAAATGCATCTTTCTTCGCTATAATTTTTCTCAAGACCTTGGGCATATTGTGCGCATTATTAATTATATTAAAAACAATTCGTTTTTCAATGACACATTGCTGATAAATTCGTTCTAACAACTCTTTCTTATTCTTAATAACAAATATTTTTGTCGCAATCAATATTCCTGTATACCTTTTAAAATTAGTAGATTTACTTATATTAGTAATTTCAAAGTAGTATATAATAATAATATAATATAATATATAATGATTATATTTATGAATTAATAATAAACGTAATCAATCAATTTTACAACTTTTTACCAATTTACAACTTTCGCGTTCATATAACATTTGGCAAATGTCTCTATTTTAAGGAAAAATACTGTTACGCGGGAATGATATAAATTTTGTATAACTTAATAAATTATAAATATATTACAAATAAATTGTATTATATATTACAAAATAAGGACAATCGATCTATTGCAATTGTTAAACCTCGATATTAATCTTAATCTAATATCCTCTCCTATTAGGATACAACAACAATTTGTCAAAATGGAAGATTTTATCCCTTAGACGAAACAAAGAATTTTGCAAACAGAACCAGAAATGGAAGAAATTCATTTGGCTATAGTAATGATAATATTCCAATAATGGTGCTAGATGGACAAAACCATGACGATCTTTGGAAAAGGCATGATATGTCACCATTTCGAAGATTCTGCTTAGTTGCATCTGTATTACTGTGTATACTGACAATATTAGTTTTTTTATATATACTACCGTGTGATAATTCCTCGATATGCCTATCTGTGCCAGAACCAAAAACTTCGGTATCATGGGATAAAACATTGGAGGGAATTGGTAAGTAATTTGAAATCCCAAACATGTATAATCATTTTTATTGTAAATATTATATATCCTAGTGTCGGTCAATATAATAAGATTGAACTTGTTTCAGAATTACATGGAAAAATTACAGTGATTCGAGGCAGCCCGTACAATCTTATATTTCTCCTTAGAGGTCAGCAATTTGGCGATATAGGGTCAAAAGACGCAGCTAGAAAGCAACAAATTCCTCCTGAAGGAGGTGCGGTGTTGTCTATGCAGGCGACGGATGGAAAGCCTTTGTGGTGGGTAGTCTTAAAACGATTACCCACGGATATCAACTGTGAAATACTCGATACCGATGCATCTGGAAAGCCAGATTGTCTTGTATCTGGTCAGGGTGGTCTTTTAGTTAGCATTGAACCAATTGCTGGAACTATTCATTGGAACTCTGAAGTGTACACTTATTCCAATCTACCTTTGCTACTTTCTGATCTAGATTCTGATGGAATTAATGATCTTCTTAGCATTGAGATTGCAAATTCTAGTCAAAATCTTGTAATTTTAACTGGAAAAGGAGGAAAATTGCTAGGTCGACGGGACATTCCTAACTGTGAATCTGTTACATTAAACAGTATTGATTCGTCCTTTCTTCTATCTTACATCTGCTATAATGCAAATAAAAACTGTAAGTTTCTTTCTCTATGTCCTAATATTATTAAAACACGATTTTGGCTTTACAATGATAAATATAATAAAATGCATGCCATTCGAATGTCAATTTATCTTACGTTTAATATCATTCGTTTTCGTAATTATTACATTGAGAAACAAATGAATTAATTAGCTTTCAAGGCCTCGTACTCACAGAGTTTGTAAATTAATTAATTCTAAATTTTCATATTCGATTGATTTTCCAAGCAATAAATGGCAAAAAAGAAAAAGAAAATTTTTTTATTCTTATAATCAAATCACATTTTAAGAAATCCCAATTTTTTTGCCATCAAGAGTTTATTATCGTTAAAATTGGTTTCAAAGGGAGGGGGTATTAAATGGCTTTTAAAGAGAAAAACTTCGGTGTCAGCAAAAGGCATAGAAATGTAAATATTAAAATAATAAAATCTCTAAATACATTATAAAGACAGAAATAGCGCATAAGTGTAAAAATAGTCGCTCGCGTACGTTTGATTTACAAAATATAATCAGAAAAAAATCTTTAGTCTCGTTTGATCTCGTCCTACAATACAGATAAACAATACAATAATAGCTTTAAAAGGTTTAAAAAAAAAAAAAAAAAAAACAGTCTTTAAGCGTAGTTTGATTGATCCGAAATAACAATTCAAATAGTCATCATACTAAATTGTAAATATTGTAAATTTTCTTCTTTTTCTTCAAGACAATTGCACATAATTTAACAATAATATTCCATTAAAAAAGTCCATTGAATAAAAATCAAAAGGTCAATTAGTTTAACATTAACACAGCATTACATAACAAAGCAATAGGTAATATTAATTTTTAAAGAGATAATTATTTATTGAATAGGGAAAACGTGTCCCAGAAGATATGAGTAAAATTGCACTAAGTAAGCTCCGTTAATATCTAATGTTAATAATTATCCAGAACTGTGAAACGTTGATCGCATTCATTATGTCCTTTTTTTTTTTTTTTTTTTTTTTTTTTTTTTTTTTTTTTTTTTTTTTTTTTTGACAAGCCATGCTCTTCCATCCCCTCTATTAACTAATTATAAGTCTTGCAAAATTACGCTAAATGATAAAAACAAAAACAAAAACAAAAAAGAACAATCTTGGATTGGGTCGCGCTCCTTCAAATCGCTGCTTCGATTAATACGAGCGGCCCTTTATTCTGTCATTATCATTATTTCCCCTCCCCCTCCCCCAGACTCGGCACAGACGATGTCCCTAAAGAGCTTCGTCGAGAGCTTGAATCTACCTCAAGGGCGTCGCAGACCAGGAAGTCTGACGAGGCCTCCGCCGACAGCAAACTACCCCAATCGGACAACGGCCGACATCTGGGACCTGACGCCCCATCATCGACTCTATGTGCGCAACGTCGCCGGCGACAATTGTCCTAGCGAGGACTGTCGGACGACTGTCAACCTGACCCTCCGACGTCCAGACGGCAACGAGAGTCGCATTTGGGACCACTTGAGCACCTCGTCCTTCGTCACAAGGCCCGCGATTCTCAATACCTCGGGCCAGGCTTACACCACGGGTTTCGCTTTGAAATTCTGGAACTGGACGTCCAATGCCGACGGCATCGATGATAAGGTACCTCACCGATTCTATTATCATTGTCCTGGGCACTGTCGATCGATCGTACGTGCCGGCGTTAACTGTCGTTGACCGGTCGTCATGGGCAATGTTGCCGCACCTGGTTCTTTATTTGGAAAATCCAATGCTATATCACGAACTCATTTTGTTAAACTAATTAGACGGATGAGAAAATTATTATATATAGTATATTTAAGCTATTGAACATGGATGCGAAACGTTTTTTTTTTTTTTTTTGCTAAATTGTTAAATAAAAGTAAATAAAACCATAAGCTGCCAACTTTAGCCCTTTAAACTTATTTAATTGTTTATTATCGAATCGCTTGAATTGGCATAAGCTATCAAGCTTTACAGTCACGAACAAACGAACAAACAAACCTGATTGAAATGACTGTCACGTTTCTGCTAGTATTACTACTTTTTTTTTTCTTTCTTGTTGTTGATTTTTTTTTACTTTTTCTTTTTTTTTTTTTTTTTCCTTTATTTTTCCTTATGACGGGCACAGCATTTGTAATCATTGGCAATCGTTGTCAGTTTTTCTTTTCTCAATCGAATCTCGATGATAAAATCGATTATTCCAATGATGACTCGGATTATATTGAAAAATGTGTCTCAGTGAAAATTATCTTCAATTATACCGTAGGAATGAAATCGCACGTAGCCGAGTAATAATATAAATAATCTCGAGGCACTTGGTAAAAATGTTGCTAAAAGCTAATGCCGCCTATCGTAAAAAGCGAGTAACGTGATTGATTGCAGGTGAGCGACTCTCTGGTGTACCAGCAGAACCTCACGGAGCGCGTGAGCATCGTCTATGTGAATAACACGGAGGTGCACGTGATGAATGCGAGCCAAAGCGACGTGGTGCAGCTGTGCCGTGGACTGGATTGTCAGCCGAGTCTGCCGAGACAATCGCGCTCCATCGCCATAACCGATCTCAACGGGGATGGTGTCATGGAGCTCATTAGTTATAGGTCGACTTATAATGTCGCCGAGGGCAAGGACAAGTCGAGTCTCACCTCTAAGGTTCAGATCGTCAAGCTGGAGGCCGTGTTCTGAAGTACCGGGGCCCGCGATCCCCCCCCCCCCACCTACCCGTAAGCTTACGCGCGCGATTTATAAAAATGTGACGAGATGAGCTTTTTCCACCTTTAATCCTTCGATTTTCAACCAACTTGTGTATGTATCTTCACCTGTCTTTTTTCTCTTTTATCTCTACTTTTTTTCTTTACGCTTTTTTTTTTCTTTTCCCCTGCAATTTACCTCACTCTCTGGCCCTCTCTGTTCCGCTCTGTATCTGTCTATATTGTATAGCTTCGTGAAAGACGCGTAGTCGCTGTATCGATTTTATTTATTTGTACATTTATTTATTTTTTAATGCTAGACATGTCAGTGTGCGATGTATTTAGTTGAGAAATTTTTCAATAAAAGTATGCAAAATACTTCGATCTATCCTAATTTATTTGTTTATCGTATGGAGGATCATATGGAGGAGAAGCGCGCGTGTTGTGCTCGATGAAAAACTGAATTGAACAACACCAATCATTGGAATCAGAATAAAACATATAAATAGATAGGTAATAATAGTATTTTCCTATCTCCTATCTCTCCGTTATCTATTCATAATATTTGGCAATATTATTAAATAGTTAAATTACATTTGTAAGTGATATAGAAATAATACCTATAGTACAATGCAAATTAGTACTAATTTGACTAATTTGTACGATGATTCTTGAACAGCAGCGGCCATTATACAAAGCATTTTTATCATATGTTTATAAGAATTACGAGGCAATGATACTAGTCAATTTCAACTTATCAATTCATCTCGATCAAAATGTCTCCTTTCGGTTTATTTGTAGAATTAAGGTGTAACATTGGGCTAAAGAGATTTTTTCTTCTTGATAGTCTAAAATTACAGACACTTCTGTAAAAGTCCGTCGTAGCGACTCTATATTTTATGTTTTACGCTTCGTTTTATTATTGAAATTGTCACCTTTTTACCGTACTTTGGCCATTACAATCAACAAAACCATTTAAAACAAGCCTTTTCATTAAGTCTAAAACTTTCAAATTTCATTTTTACTATAAAACAATGAATTTAAATTAATAACTGGAGCATGGCTTAAAAATGATATCGCAGCTCGATAAAATCTTAAATTTTATGCCGACTCAGTTGTGTATATTGACTTTCCCATGATTAAAAAATATTAATAAGCTATGCTTTGTAACTTTTTTTTATTTATTTGAATAATAAGATAACCTAAATATTCGTAAACGACTGTCATGGAATATTTTCTTAATATCGTTATTTCGTTGGCAACCATATTTTCTCAATTTCTATCAGCATAAATTAACGTTAATTTCTTTATTATTTAAAAAAAAAAAAAAAAAAAATTAGCTTAAAGTAATTCAGTAGACTTAACTAAGATCTATGATTTGTTCTAAATTTTAATTCTAATTTTTTTTTTTTCCTTTTTTTTCTTTTTTTTTTCCTTTTTTTTTGTCGTGCAATTTACACGTTATAAGACACAAAATTTTGAAAAGTAGATCAAACATTTGCATACACTTTTTATAATATATAAATTAAGTCATCACTATTGGAAATCCATTAAACAAAGAAAAAAAGAAGAAGAGGAACTAGCTAGATTCAAGTGGCCTACACTAGACGGTGTACCTGAACCGTCTCATTTCATATATTTCAACGTCAGTTTTTATCGTAAAGTGTCATATATATATATATATATATATATTTATCATTAAGCAATTTATTATTTATATTTATATGTGCATTATTAGCATGACTGTTGGTAAATAAGTGAACGGTATATCGATACACTGTCATGTAACCTCATCGTCAAATCATTTATTATAATCAAAAATATTATAAAGAAAGCGGAAGATTGGACCACCATAATTTCATGTATTATAATGATGTGTTCAAAGTCTGGAGACTCAGATTTCAATAAATGTTCTTTTTAGGAATGAAGTCGACGATTCGTCAACGAATCGTACAGATTTTATGCGAGTATTTTTGATGCAGTAAAATCATTAATATAACTAAATGTAACACATGAATAATATAAATAAAACATTATTGATTACTTGAATTTATATTTCACTTATTATTATTATTATTATTATTATTATTATCATTATCATCATCATCATCATCATCATCATCATCATCATCATTATATTTTCAAGACAAGATACTTAATAAATTAGAAGTTTATCATTTTCTTATTCGTAATATTACCAATTGTAAATTATTGTAATTTCATATGCTCCGCGTCCGTGATGTTTGTGCATGATATGAAATTTTTAGAAAAAGATTTATAATCACATGTTGACGAGAGAAAAATTTTCCACGCTCTTGAAAAAGCAAGAAATTGATATAAATAAAACGAGAGGGCGAAATTTGCGTAATGATTGATAATGAATTTTAAATATAGTAAGTGTATTTACGATTATCCAAGAGAAAGCCGAAACATAGAAGTATCATCATACACGCACGCACGCATTTACACATAAAATTTAATATTTTAGATTAGTAATGTCAGTTATTATATTATGTTTTTGTAAAAAACAAAAATTTTTTTATTTTAATATAGAAATTAGATATTTACAAATAATTTATTTTACTAAACTAGTTTCTAAATGTGAAATTATTTATTAGACTTTCATCGATTAATTTTAATTTTTACTGAATACAAATCGTACAAATTTTTAGCAATTTTATTATAAATTTATTATATAATATAGCTCGATAATATTATTTTTCATTATGATCGATTTATTGAATTTGAAGAAAAAAATTAACGAAAAGTAAGAAAGTAGTTGGACTAATTTGCAAGAGGAGCCGAGGTGAAGAAAATTTCAACTCCCTCTGCATTTAAATTAAGAGATCTTTGCACTTTCCAGCAGACTTTATCATAACTTTAGAACTCGTTGAACAATTATAAAATAGAGATATTATAGAGATTTTATTTCGATTAAAGTCGACTTTTTAATTGATAAATAATAATTCGCGCTTGTCGCCACCAATACGAGGCGCTTATCCGACAAGTTGGAATGAGTGCACGAAGCCGTCGTAGCAGAATATCGTCTCATTATCGTGCACCACGTTACTCAGGACCGTTCCTTCCTTATGAATTCCTGAGGCGGAGGCTAGGGCGTGTTCCGACGACTCCACCAAACGACTGCCGAGGGTCCACGAGGAGACAGCTCAGGAGTATTACTCAGGTTGGAATTTATAGCGGACGAGATGAGCTACTACGAGCGAGTCGAGGTCAGTGTTTGCTTGACGATGCACGACGAGGCGCAACCGAGCGTTTCCTTAATTTGAGACATGAGGGATATGGAGCGAGAGGCGCGGGAGAAAGAGAGAGAGAGAGAGGAGAACAAATCACTTCCGTTTGAAGGAGAATCGTTTTTATGGTGAAAGGATGCTTTTGCTACGATCTCTTCCACAATACTATCTCTGGCATAAGGACGTTTTAACAAATTCGAAACTTGTGCTGTATTTAAGTATGCTGAGATTTATTTTAGGCAACGAGATATCACACCCTACAGCTTTAATGTCAAAGGTTGAAAAAAATCTTTCGTAGCAGAATATTTGATTGATTCATAAATATAAAGACCTTCGAGTTGTCTATTTGATACATCTTGAAAATTATAATGGACTTTGCACAGGTTGTACTCTTGGTATATTCATTCGCTTCGCCGGAGAATTTACAACCAATGCAAAGTCTCATTTTATAACGAACTCAAATATTCATCGTTTACTCGAATTTATCCTTCACCGAAAGTTTTTGTTAGTTGAAGAGCATTCTCGAATTCAAAATTTCGAACATCAAAACTTAAAAATATTTGAAGAATGAAAAAAATGCTGACCTAACTGCTTAGATGGAATCTTAAAAGAAATTTACCATATATATATATATATATATATATATAATGGACTCCGCATAACTGTCAAGTTCAAGAATTTTATCGTATATATTTAGTATAATGAAATAAAATTAAGATATATCGCAATAATTCATTAAATTTTAATACGATTAATATTGAATCGCTATTTTTTCTTTTAGAATTTAAATAATATATTAAATTGATAATATTTTTCAGAAATGTCGAGGATATATTGCAAGTAGACTTTAGTAAGAGTTTAGTAATTCATATATACAGGCACATTATCTAGTGCGTGAATATGAAAGTATTTCAATATCATTATTAAAAATACAAGGAGGAATGAGAACATATTACGAAAGATAGAGAGAGAGAGAGATAGAGAGAGAGAGAGAGAGAGAGAGAGAGAGAGAGAGAAAAGAAAATAAATCAATAAAAATGATAAAAGTATTATTATGTGATTGAAAACCTGTGATTTTTAAACGCTCGTTCCTTCAAGTGTTAAGCGCGTCCATCGATACTTAAAATTAGTTATCGAAAGAGAAGCTTCTGTTTTAAGATGACTTTTTCCCTTAATTTCATTATGGATTATTTGCAAGAGCGATTTATGATTTGACATAAAACAATTACAATTGTGAATTTAATAATATTAATTCTAAATTTAGCGTGCTGATTAAGATCGTTTACCTAGGCTATTCAGACATCAACTTTATTATGCTTTATTTGCCAGTCTATTTATTACGCTAATTAACAATTACATTATAATTATACGGATAATTGCAATTAATATTAAGAAATTTTGTGAGAAAAATAAAGAGAAAAACGTGCCTTTGAATGAATATTGAACGAAAACCAGTTTCCCAACGTGGTACGGCCATTGACATTTTTGTATATACGAAAAATCACATAATCAAGTATTCCATTACAAATTCTCAAATATTCTTATTTTGTTCTATTAAAGAGATAAAATACTCTCCTACAATAATAATCATTAAATTTATAAATAAGAAAATAATTGTCTTTGGTAGAAGTCAGCGAGGTGCCATTTAAATAAATTATAATATCTATAAACAGTGTAATAGATTGCTTATTCATTAATAATATTAACTCATTAATATTAAATCTATGAACGACAATATAAAGCATTTATTATTTAAATAATACCTTACTAAATAGTCGAGTTGAAAGGTTATACAGTAATTGCAATATATAAATCTAAGTGGGTAGATTGTCACACAAAGGGAGAAATATTTAATTGCTAATGAATCATCGCAATAATTACTCATTTGCTTTATAAAATTCAGAAAATTATCTTTTTGCCTTTTTGTAATAATACAATGAAATTACTTTATTATTACATTCGTGCATTCCTTCCTATTTGTCTTCCGAATGCCGAAATATCAAAGCAATTTGAAACTTGTTACATAAGAGACGTTTTTCAGACGTTGTCACATGTTTCTTACCTTAAAGTCTACTTAAATTTCGTTATTTTAATTGCTTTGTAGATAATTATTCGACGGTCGAGGCAGATTGACGTTCATAATATTACGTTTATTAACATTTCAATTTGAACATTTTCTTACTGACGCGGAAAATAAAAATATATGCTCGAGAGCACTATTTACAGAGGCGCAAAGTTCTTTTTTCGATATCTCGAGGATTAGCGAGACTCTATCGTTAAATACTAATAATAAATAGGATGAAAATTTTTATATCTAATAAGAAACTCGTTAGGTTCTAACGTACCACTAATTTACTAATTACCAAATGGACAAAACCGATATATTTACAATAATAAGATAGACAATTTGTAGTTAGAAACTTGTTGGATGGTATAGTTTTAAATTCAATGAAAAACCTGAATACAAAGTCACAAAATTATCTCATCGATAAATCCATTAGTCTTCTCCTTTTGATAAAATTATAAGAAACGTATTTTTGTTTTCATGATGAAGAGTTCGGCGTCGTTGAAACGCTACCGTCAACAATAAGAAATTTTTAATCAGCTGGATCAGCCTTATCGTAACAAATGTGCATTCGCCTTGATTGTTCAGTCTAATTTACCGCATTCGTATGTATTTATTTCCTGATTTTAGTCTTTGGTATCGACGGAGAAGAAGTGCATCCATGAACCATATTAATCATAATGTACATTTAACATTCATAAGAAACAAAATATATTTGTATATATATATATATATATATATATATATATATATTAATATGACTATAAGAATAAACCAAGTGATTATAATTTTAGGAATTAAAATTGCATCATATTGTAAATATGATGAAAATTCTTTAGATTTTTAGCGATTTTGAATTATTACTTAGAAATGCGTGGTTCTTTTATACAGATCTACGTATATTATGTTTAAAAAGAAATTAGACGGACTAAAGGAGTTATCGATTATCGATTACTGCAATTCGAAATTATGTGTTATTTATGAATATAATCATATATTCATGACTTTCAATTATTTTTACCATTATTAAACGGGATAATAATTTACTAACAAAGATATAATATTACTCATTGGAAAGTACATTTTGTATAAATTGGCATGATCGAAGGAAATGGGAAAATGACTGTTAACGTCACAAGGAAAGTGCGTCTTACGATATGATAAGGAGGTAGTGACTGCAGCAGTCAATAACAAGATAATTTTGTATTTACTTATAAAATAATAAATATATATTTTTATTTGTAAAATTAAATTGTAAACTGTTAATTAGCGAACAATTAATTGCAATATACTTGTAAAAAGAAATTTTAAATATATATATGTATATATATATATATATATATATATATATATATATATATATATATATATGTATGTATAACTAATCAGTAGTCGATTAATTTTTTTATATATAAACACATATACTTTGGAATTTATTCTTTGTATTTTATCGTAAAATACTTACGTTAAAAATACAATAAAATAAGTAATAAAATAAGTTATGAATTACTATTTGTTTTATATGAAAACGTCTCTGTTATACTTTTAAATATCGATAAATTTTATTATAAAAGAAATCTCTTAAGAATTTCAGTTGGACATGAAAGGGACGATATCATATTTGTTAATATTTGACACTTTTTATTCTAATTTGAAATAAATGAAAATTTTTAAATAACCCTCCCTTCCCCACACCCCAATTAATTTTGATATGACGATTGATGAAAGATGAAATTTCCGCTCGCATCCAGCCTTTCGTTAGTCTCAATATACAAGAAACTCGAACAAATTAAGAAGAAATTTATATAGAGAAATCATGTATGCGTTACAGCATAATTAAAATTATGCGTATTTTCATCAACTCTACTATTGAATTAAATACTTTTTTCTTTAATTTAATGATGTCTTACGTTCTAGATGATGGCATAAGTAGTGCACATTTCAGTATATTAAACTCTAGTGCCTTCGTCCATCAGTTTCAATGAAATATACTTAATACGAAGTGTTTCATAAGAAAAATGAGAAGAAAAAAGTAGCATTTGAAGACGAAAAAACTTGCCACGGCAAAGCGTTTTATAACTACTAACGAATTGAATATATTATATACGTGTATATATATGTGTGTGTGTGCGCGCGCGCGCGCGCGCTTGAGAGAATTGTACAAATCTCTATAGAAGCTCTCCGAACAACCATAACGATTTATCAAATAGCACAAACTTTTTCTTATTTAATAACTAGAAAATTATTATAATTATTATATTTTCAAACCAGCCACGGCCTCGTGATTTTTATGCACGGTAAAAGAGCATATTTATCGACTATACCTTTCGCTACAAGATTTTCTAAACTGAAAAATGCATCGTCCTCGTTCCTACGTTCCTACGCAAAGTTAGAAAAAGCTAGATAAAAAAGGTCCCGATAGAGCACAAAATTTCCTATTATTTCACATATGCGAGGTGCCCTCCTTCTCTTAAAGGTCTTGATAAATATTGATCGCTCCTTTCGATTTACATTGTATTTTCAGTCGCTGGAAATCGTCCCGACGATACCAGCCATTGATTCGTTAATAACTCGCCGCGGAGTCCATTTTGCGATTTCCGATTTCCGATAAAAAGTCGTATTTCCGGTCGATACGAAGACTTTATGCGCGCACGGCCACTTTCCTTCGCGTCCAGGGACTTTTACCATAAGCCCTACCTCCGCACGTACAAGCTTCGGTATTATCGGCAATTGTTATCGCCGCCGGGAACGTCGATTAACCCACCCACGCACCCGCGAGTTCGCTGCTCATAATAAAGGAAGCCCAACATTGGCCCATAAAAGTCCATGATACACGCGATTACGCGATTAGGACGAGCTATTAGAAGTCCAGTAATTATGTCCGGTCAGTAGCGGTGGATCGTCGTCGATGCACCGCACCTGCACTCCCACCTTACCGTCCCTACCACCTCCCGTCACGAGCGAACTCGCCTCGACTCGACTCGGCTCCATTCGGCTCGGCTCGGCTCGGCTCGACTGGACTCGTCGGTAGTGGTGGTCGAGGTGGTGGTGGTGGTGGTGGTGGTGGTGGTGGTGGTGGTGGTGGTGGTGGTGGTGGTGGTGGTGGTGGTGGTGGTGGTGGTGGTGGTGGTGGTGGTGGTGGTGGTGGTGGTGGTGGTGGTGGTGGTGGTGGTGGTGGTGGTGGTGGTGGTGGTGGTGGTGGTGGTGGTGGTGGTGGTGGTGGTGGTGGTGGTGGTGGTGGTGGTGGTGGTGGTGGTGGTGGTGGTGGTGGTGGTGGTGGTGGTGGTGGTGGTGGTGGTGGTGGTGGTGGTGGTGGTGGTGGTGGTGGTGGTGGTGGTGGTGGTGGTGGTGGTGGTGGTGGTGGTGGTGGTGGTGGTGGTGGTGGTGGTGGTGGTGGTGGTGGTGGTGGTGGTGGTGGTGGTGGTGGTGGTGGTGGTGGTGGTGGTGGTGGTGGTGGTGGTGGTGGTGGTGGTGGTGGTGGTGGTGGTGGTGGTGGTGGTGGTGGTGGTGGTGGTGGTGGTGGTGGTGGTGGTGGTGGTGGTGGTGGTGGTGGTGGTGGTGGTGGTG